CTATCACCAAGAAGAGGGGATCGATTTTCTCGAGACATTTAGTCCTGTGGTGAAACAGGCGACAATTCGCATTGTCCTCTCGGTAGCTATGGTGCAAAAATGGTCAATACCCCAATTAGACGTCAAGAATGCCTTCTTGCATGGTGCGCTTAATGAAACGGTATATATGGAGCAGCCCCCAGGATTCTCGGAACTCCCTAATCATATATGTTTGCTCCGAAAGTCTCTGTATGGTTTGCGTCAGGCTCCGCGTGCATGGTTCGAGAAATTCAGCAATTTCCTTTTGGAATCGGGCTTTTTCTGCAGTGCTACTGACCCATCTCTTTTTATCTTACACAAGGGTCAAGATACAGTCCTACTCTTGCTCTACATCGATGACATTGTGTTAACCGGAAGTTCAAATCAGCTGCTCACTGAGTTGATCAAATCTCTTAGCTCCAGCTTCCACATGAAAGACTTGGGCTGTTTACACTATTTCTTGGGTATAGAGGCCAAGTACACATCTGAAGAATTATTTCTTTGTCAAACGAAATATGCCATTGACCTCCTGGAACGAGCAAATATGAAGGAATGCAAGCCCATCTCCACACCCTTGTCACTAAAACCAGTTCACAACTCTGGTGATGATGTTTATCTTGACAACCCGTTGGCATACAGAAGCTTAGTGGGCGGTCTGCAATATCTAACGATAACCAGACCAGATATTGCATATGCTACGAACGTGTTATGCCAGAAAATGCAGAATCCGACAGTGGGTGACTTAAATAAATTGAAGCGAGTATTGCGTTATATCAAGGGGACAGTTAACTTGGGACTTTTCATTCACTCACATAGCTCGTTGAATTTATATGGTTTTTCGGATTCCGACTGGGCTGGTTGTGCCGATACGAGACGCTCCACTACGGGGTTTTGCACTTACCTTGGTTCAAATATCATCTCTTGGTCAGCAAAGAAACAGACAACAGTGTCACGGTCATCGACCGAAGCAGAGTATAGAGCACTCGCCTCTACTACTGCTGATCTTACGTGGATTGCATTTGTCCTGAGAGACATCGGGATTCACTTAACCTCACCAACGGTATTGTTTTGTGATAATCAATCTGCGATTTCTCTTACATCTAATCCTATCTTACATGCCAGGACGAAGCACATTGAAATCGATTTCCACTTCGTCCGTGAGAAGGTTTCGTTAGGTTTACTCAGTGTGCAATATGTTCCCAGCCATCATCAAATTGCGGACATTTTTACCAAGGCCTTGTCCAGATTTGATCATTGTTCTTTCAGAATCAAACTGGGTTTAGGTTTCAAAACCACACCCAGTTTGAGGGGGGATGTTGAGAGTAAAGGTCCGAAAACAAGTGGGGCCGCAGCCCAAGAGCGAGACAGCCTGGAGCTGACACCGTGGCCCATGGGGGGCACAACCATAATTTCGGAGGAGCGAAAACCCTAATCCTCCGTGAATATAAGAACGGAGCAAAACCTCTCTCATGACCTTCTTCTTCCTCTGTTCTTTTTTCTCTGTTTTTCTGGCTGTGTGTCCGTGTATGTGGTGATGATGGAGGGCTTTCAGATGAATTTTTACAAAGTATAAAGAAAGGGCTACGGTGATGAAGAGTTCTATTGATCTGGTTCTTGTGTAGTTTCTTTTCTTCATTATTTTGCCCTTTCACATTCCCTTGGTCACCCTCTCTCTGGGATCCATCCATGAACCGCCACTAACCCACATGGTCACTCCCTCTTTTTCACGAAAAATTATCAATTTGGGAATCGAATCGTAACCCCGATCATCTCCCAAAAGCAACTTACCATTCCGTGGTCGAATTTCCAAGCTCAAAAGAAAGTTGCAGGAGGAAGTTCCGTAGGAACTTTCTTTCGATACTGGCCTACCTTCAAAAAAGGCGAAAGCTATTCTTGAAGAGGAAGTAGAAACTAAAGGAGGACATTAATCTAATCAAATGACCCCAACAAAAGCAAGAAACCTACCCACTCCCGCATGCTCGATTGCGTCATTCGTGGGCCGCTTTGCCGCACCATCTCCACTTCCGCCTTAAAGCGACCTCATGATTTCCAGCTGATTGGATCGCCTTTTTTTGATTCCTGTGAGCTTTGCTTGCGATGTATATGTGGTGAAGCTCTCGTGCGTTTCTTTAGCTACTGGTGCTCTTCATGTTAGCTCAGCCTGAGCAAGGAAAGGGATGGGAGGTGGCAGGTGCAGGTCAAGATTCATTTACAAGGTTGCTTAATTGACTAGGAGGGCCTCCGCGGCCTGTCCGTTTGATTTAATATGATGGCGGGCTCCACAGATGCGTTTCCTATTTTTACGTGCCGGTGTCCATTCCTAATTCTTCATGTATCATTGTTTTGTTAGAGTAGTAATTAAATATTAAACTACGTCATTGTCTAATAACTTAAGCTTTTAGAACGGTTGACAGTGGTCTTATAAAAATCTCTCATCCTAAGAAAAGGAAATAACCCTCTAAAAGTTTTACATCCCGAAGATCTTGAGGTATGAACGATGACCGAGATGGAACATTTTAAGGACATGATCAGGTCCATTTTTTTTTTTCAGAATTAGAATAGATGGAGGTTATAAAAATGAGTATATTTGACTGCTAGCAATGTTCATAAAAAAAGAAGACCTTGATGGCATGAGCTATGCCCTTATTTTGACTAATTAATCACCATGCTGCTGCATTGGAAAAGTTACTAGTTGTTTGGTCACCTTTTTTTTTTCCTATTCAATACTGATAAATGATTTTTTAAGTATCGGAATACTCCACCTAGTCAAGCGGCAAGAACAACCCGACGGAATCATCCCGTTGGTGGAGTATAAATCCTGACATCATTAGACTTTAGTCCGACACCACTTAACCGTTATCTAATTAACCGCCACAATGGTGCTACCACTAATTAAGAATCCATGCCCATAGTGACCCTCAAATCGAACCGACCATTGTAAATTACATGACTTACTATAAAGCACTACATATTATCGAGGTGCCAAGTGTCTTTAGTGGTGGGCCATACGTTTTGCCTATTGTCACCGAAGGCAACTACCTGTCAACCGTGACTAGTCAACTCACAAAAAGTCTAATAACGTAAGGGGCCTCGTTCAGGCAGGATTGGACTCTTTTGAGGCTTGGTTCGTTTCTCAAAAAATAAACAATTTATAAAATGTTTTTAAAAAAAATGATCGATTGAATGGTATACTAAAATAAATAAATAAATAATATTTTTATCGACTACGAAAATATTTAGACATAAAATGTTATCGATAATGAAAATATTTTTAATAGATTAATCATTTCAAGCGATACAAGTAATTAATTTTAACATTCATTTTCCTTGAAATAAGGGAGCTTAAAATCCTAAATTTAAATTCTGTGTACCCATCTTTTTTTTCTAATTACTGACTTAATAATCATCAGAAGGTTAATCCGGATTCTAAACCCAGACGCTTTAACCCACATTTTGTCTTGTGGATTAATTCTCGAAGCCGGGCACTTTTACCGAGGTGTTTCCCAAGTTCAACATTAACAAATACATACTCTTCTTCAATTATTAAGGAAAAAGGCGTACCAAACCACTTGAGAAAAGCATAGAGAAGACATTTCTCCATTCACTGTGTGTTCCCATCAACTAAAGGCAAAAGGCACGAGCTCTATGCTTTTCATATATTCGTTTTTTTAATCTTATAATTGTGAGCTATGACGGGCAAAATCGATCCAATAATAATTGAGGCTATCAATTGACTCAATTAAAGCATAAAATTTGAACATATCTAATCTTGCTCGATGTAACTGGAAAGTGTTCAAAAAGGTGATTTACCAATGTGATTCAAACGAGATCTATCAAGAAAAAAAGAAGTTAATAAGTTTTAAGGGTCTAGGGACAAGCTTGGAAGAATTTTAAAAAGCATGCGAACTCCTATTCCTAAAGTTATTTGAGCAATAATGGTGATTTTTAAGAAAATTACTCTAATAAGCTCTTTCAAGCCTGAATTTTGCGTAGTTATAGCCCAAAAAGAGGGGATGAGATATGGTCAAGATGCGACTAGGGTTCAAGTGGATTAGCAAGGTTTGAATAAGCTATCGCCATAAGAGATATAGAAGAGCTCTATCGTATAGAGGGAGGGGTTTTTTTTAGCACTGGTTCAGCCTCGATAATAACTTCATTATTGGTCTCTAAGGGTGCGTTTGTTTCAAGGAAAGTATTTTTCGGGAATCCGTTTTCCGGACTTTCACCCGTTTGGTCCGTCGAAAATGATTAGTCAACCGAAAACACTTTCCAATTAAGGAAAATATTCATGTATAAAATTAAAAAAGTAAATTTCCTAATTTAAGAAAGTGAAAATACTTTCCGGAATTGCTTCCCTTTACTTTTTTACTATTTTATTCTTTTCTTTCACGTTTTCTTTTTTATTTTTAAAAATAAAAAAATTTAAAGATTCGAATTTTTTTTTTGCCCGAGATAAAATCATGGGATTGAAATCATTTTCCAAATAAGATCCAAACACCATAAAATGTTTTCGATCACACATCACCAAACAAAGGAAAACTAACTATTTTCCTGGAAAATGAATTTCCGAAAAATATTTTTCTAAAAACGTTACGTTTTCCGTGAAACAAACGCACCCTAAGTACATCAAGGAGGATACGATGGAGTCAGCTTCCAGCATTGAAGCTCAGCAGCTAATAATTCTCCCAACCAGGCTGTTTCAAAACCATTTTAGAGCACACGGTAGACAAGCAAACGACAAAAAAAGAACTAGGACAACAAAAATAAATAAGCAAATGGAGGCCAAAGCAAAAGCACCCAAATAAGCACATTTTCAACCTGTGCCCCCATGCCTTTTGTAAAAGTTCTGCCTTTTCCCACATTATTAGAATCGTGTTGCTAATATTCTTATTTTTTTTGGGTCTGAAAATATACTTCTATGAATATACAGAATCTCACCAAAATATCCCACCTCCCCTCTATTAAAGCCCATGTTCTCACTTCTCCAACGTTCAGTCAGATGGCAAAGAGTTCTCTCTAACCCTCTCTCTCTCTCTCCAAAGCCTCCTAGAGAAGTGCCCCAATTGCCTTCTCGCTCCCCAAACACTTGAAAATGGATCAATCTTATAGACCAAGAAAGCTCAAATCCACGAAGAAACACAAGAGCAGCCACCTCGCCCCTTCCAACAACCATCTGATTCTCAATCTTCTCACCGCAGCAATGTGCATTTTAGTCTGTTCTAACCATTTTTCGCTTCCCTCGTCCTCATTGGAGCCTTATATGAACCATTTTCTATCCATCACACTCCCTCACATAAAGTCGACCTTCCTTCACCCGAAGTGCCTCTTTATAGTGGTCAACGCCATCGTCGTGTTCCTCATCGGCGAATCGAGGCTCCGGGCCTCGCCCTCGTCTCCGGCCGATGACCTCTACACGGAATATATCGACCGAATCAGTCGAGGGAACAAGGGTTTCAAAGTCCACGATGCGGTTCCGAAGAAGAAAAATGATAAGGGGAGGGATTCTAAGAAGGACTTTATTAAAGAAGACCGTAGAGTTGAAGAAGTGGGAGCAGAAGGGACGAGGAAATTGGTGGAGAAGGATAAAGATGAGGAGGAATTGCCTGCTGAGGAATTGAATAGGAGAGTTGAAGCGTTCATTGCTAGGGTTAACAAGCGAAGGTCGCTTGAGCCAGATCTTTAATATGGGCCGACGCATGACTCCACCATATATATTTTGCATCATAGACCATTGTTGACTTTTGAAGTTGTAGGTTTAGGACATGATATAGATTAGATAAACAAAGGAATGCATCCTTCTAAAACTAATGAATTATCTTGCATACATAGTCTCTACAGTTGCAAGACGTTTTATCATCAGGAGTTCACTTCCTCCGGAATTAGTGTAGTAAATTTAAGTGGACGCACGGGATCTAATCTTTGTTGTTAATTCGACATGGCTCATCACAAAAGTCCTTCCTTTAGCAATGAAGACTTTGCAAAGTGTCCTGAAAAAGAAAGAGGATGATCAAGTTTTACATAATCTTGTAGGGCCCGATCTCAAAAAATCGGAATCGGTAACCGAATCGACAATTTGTTGATGGGTTCCCGGTTATGGTTATGAACATCGAGAACCAGCTAATTTCACTTTTTTGCTAACATTTTAATAGTTTTTATAAGATAATTTCATTAGTGGAGCTATGATGGAGTGCACTACTTTCACATTAGATCCCACAGCCCTAATTTTAGCATATATTGTAGGGTTTCTTTTCATGATATAATGGAAGAAAACGGGTTGCCTATTCGATCTTGGAGTAAGCTTGGTCGGTCTTAACTCCCGAGTGGGATTCGATATTTCATAGGACTGAACCTGCAACAATCTAGCTGATTTTTTGAGTTTTTACCTCGAGCTAAAAACAAAAACAAAAGCTCTGAAAAGCTTCCAAGATTTCCCTTAGGCTCCGTTCGTTTGGCGGAAAATATTCTCCTTTTGAAAAATATTTTCCCGGAACATAATTTTCCGGTGTTCGGCGATCAATATGAAAAAGTTTCGGAAAATATTTTTCACCGGCGACCGGCGGCGGCCGGCGGTGGCCGGCGACCGGCGGCGCGAGCGGCGGCGGCCACGCTGATCGGCCGTGGCGGCGGCGGCGGCCACGCGACCGGCTGCGGCGGCGGCGGCGGCCATGCGACCGGCCGAGGCGGCGGCGGGCGGCGGCGGCAGACCATTGCTAACGGTGGTGACCGGCAATCAACTTCCTCTCCCACGGAAAACATTTTCCCTCCCATGAGCAATTTTGCCTTCAATTTGGGGGAAAATGATTTCCTCTTTGTGAAAAGAGGAAATCATTTTCCTCAAAACAATGAAAGATTTGGGGGCGGGGAAGGAAAATATTTTCCCACGGAAAACATTTTCCGCCCCCGAACACCGGAAAACGCAAAAAATATTTTCCGGAAAAATATTTTTCCGCAAACGAACACAGCATTAGTGAAGGCAAAAAGTTATATGGCCCTAAACGATCGAATCGTTGCATTTACTCATGATCGTCAAGCTATGCATCCATCGAAGTTTCCCACTCGAAATCACTGCTACAATTAGATTATCTCAACGGTAGACCGGTCAAACGGGTGGATCGGATCGGGCTCGAGTCACGTTGAAAATGATCCAAATCAAATCAACTTATTTCACCCGTTTTGATCCAGTTCTATGAAATACAAATTTAGTGATTCATACCAGGCCCAACCATACCCGATTCGACCCATATTGTTCTAGAAAAATTTATACACAAACTAAGGAGAGAACGTGAAGCAAGCAAGCGCGAGATCGAGTGAGGTGAATATAAGTGAAGAGAGATTCATAAAGGTGGGTTGGGTTAATACCCAAATTATTTTGGGTTCTAAATTCATTCGTAATCCATTTACCGAACGTAACTAAGTCATCTGATGACTCGGCCTACCAAATATAGGTTGGCCCGTGCAGAGTTCAGCCCATTCAATCATACCCAATTTAACCTCGCCGATTAACCTAGTTAACCAAGCTTCATAAATCACCCAGAGGGGAGACGGTCTCCTCTGCAACTACCCCTCTTCCTTCTTCCTTCGGCTTCGGAGATTCCCAGGGCCTCGGCCCTCGCTCTCTCCGAAGCTTTTCTTTCCACACACACTGCCAATCTCTCTCTCTCTCTCTTGCTCCACGTTCCTTCTTCTTTAAGAGCCGAATCCAGAGAAGCACGGAATTTCTAGACGAAAGAGCTCAGCTGAGAGAGAGCAATACATGGCAGCCTTTTCTTCCACGCGTTGTCCATCACATGCAACGACCCCGTCCTCCCCGTCGCCGCGGCCTCGTCTACCTTCTTCGGTTTGCGGGCATGATCGGCGAGCGACGCTTCCCTCCATCCCAGGCGGGCTTGCGTTGCGGGCGCAGCCGTCGTCTCGGCTACGCAGGAGTCGCCGCGCCAATGCGGTTCGCCTGCATGAGGGTAACCTCGTCGGAATTGATGTTTTCCTCTTTCTATGCAAGTTTGGTTCGCAATGCCCACCACCCGCATTGTAGTTACTCGTGTCGGGTTTGGTGATGATAGCTTTTGAATATGGTACTGCATTTGGTTTCTTTGGCTTGCGTACCAAAAGTTTTACTGTCCATTTTGGTCCTGTTGCTTTCCCAGTTATTAGCTGTTGGCTACGCGATTACTATTTTTTTTCTCTCTTTTTTGCATACTGTGAGGGTTGTTTCTTTCGGATTGAGGCACTGTAGCGTAGTGGCTCCTTTTTCGTTTGTTGTGTTCATATTCCTTCTTCCAACCCAGTGAATCTTGCTTTGGTTTTGACGGACTAAATATGATACAGGAATAAAGATTCAGAAGATCTTTTTGGCATAAGATGATGCATATTTCTATGTTTCAAGATGTGAATCGAACTTGCTAGGAGTAGATGCCACCGGAAAGATTTTGATATTCGCGAAGGAATCAGCTGCAGCTTAATTGTGTGAGATTAGATTTTCGTTGAAGTTGGTTCAAGAGGGGTAGATAAAAAAATTTCCGGTGAGCTGAACGGAAGGACATTATGAAAAATGAGAGTATCTTGCACATCTTCTTCTGCCTAATGAATGTATCTGTACCTTCCAACTTCAGATTTTTTCCACTGATGAGGAACTTGGTTCTTAACTTCTTATTCAGCTTTTGTTAATCATAGGTGCAGGGGCTACAACAATCATTCCAATTGAAAACGAATTTCCAATGAAGAAATCAAAAGACTCCTTGTCATTGACCTTGCCCGAGGTGGAGAACATAAACATCAGCGAGAATGAGTCTACTGTCAGCATCACGGTGGTTGGGGCCTCTGGTGACCTTGCCAAAAAGAAGATCTTTCCTGCGCTTTTTGCACTATTTTATGAAGACTGTCTCCCTAAGGTGTGGAAGTTCTCTAGTTGCTCTGTTCCAAATTTTTAGTAGTTATGATTCTGTCTTTTTATCTTGATCCCCTAGGACTTCATCCAAATTGCTTCACACATTTTTATTGATTTTGTGGTTGCAGCACTTCACTATATATGGTTATGGTCGGAGTAAGATGACTGATGCTGAACTCAGAAACATGATCAGTAAATCTCTAACTTGCAGGATCGATAAAAGGTAAATGCAGCTTTTGGCTCGTACACCACAAGTGGCTAATATTTCACATTCATGAATCCTTCTTTAGTTCTTTTGTTGCAGTCATGAAGAAAGTCTTTTTTCGTAACTATTTGAAATTCCAATTCAAAAGCTTAAACTATTAGGTGGAGGAAGATTATTATGTTCAATGCTCATAAGAAGCTTATAAATGTGATGTTGGTATCAGCACCTCTCTCATAAGCACATTGGATGAAGAGCGGCATGTACAAAATAACAAATAGGCATAGGACAAACAAGAATTACATGCGGAATGAAACTTGAAATGGGCCTTAAAGAATTTAAACTTGGTCTAATACCATATTTAAATTTCGACAGTTCAAGCCTATAAGACAGATGAAGATTATCAGTATACAAGGTATATATAAACCCAGTAGAAAAGTATCACAGGATGCACACAGTTATACCGCTAGCATGGTGCAACAAGCCAGTCACTATTTTACAAAGGGATTGATGTTACGACAAATAGGGAAATCTATCTCTGAATTGCCAATATCTTAAATCTAATTGGTGATGCATGAATTATATGATACATAAGATGCTTCTCCTCCCCAACAGTCTAGACCTCTCATTTTGGATTATTAAACATATGAGAATTCTCACCGTTGATAACCATTAATTCTGGATTTTCAGTGAGAATTGTGAAGAAAAGATGGACCAGTTCCTGGAGAGATGTTTCTATCATTCAGGCCATTATGATTCCCCAGAGAACTTTGCAGAGCTAGATAAGGAGCTAAAGCTGCATGAGGTAAAAGCTCACAAATTAATTTAACAGGGTACATTTTTTTATTATATCTGTGCTAACAATGAACTGGGTACATGTTAGTTTGCATCTTGTTCTCTCAATTGCGTTGTGATATTTTATGAGCAGCTGACAATTATAGCCCCAGTGGTTATTTTGATAAAAGTATGGTTTAGTTGTAGTAGAAGAACTGGAATGGAGGTGTACTAGTTGTTGAAAACATGTTGGTTCCAGGAGTAGGTTTAGTTGTTTTTCTTGTGAAAAAATTCTTGTATGCACCCAGAGCATGTGAGTCCACTTTGTCTCAGCCATTGAGTGGTGGGGACCCCACGTGAGAGCCACATTATCTAAAGGTTGAGATGGAGCGGGCTCATATCCATCAAGTAGAATTTGGTCATTTGTTTCAAATGAAATTGCTGATGCACATATCTTATGATTTTAAGTTAAGATTCTTAGCTAGTCCTATTTTACCAAGAGCATTTCAGTGGTATGAGTTAGTGATGGGAATGTTTGGATGCGAACTTAGCTGATCCTAGACATAATACACCAAGATCATGACTTGCAAGGTGGTTAAAGATCCCTGGGCAACTATGAACCCATGTACACTCCTAGAAGACTAATCTTGATTGAAAGTCCAAATGGTGGGTTAGCCAACTATATTCGATAGTGTTTCAGGCTCTCGAGTTGACCTAAAAATGGGAGGCTTGGAACGGAAGATGTGTGAGTTGACAGATTGAAATGCTGAAATAGAACAGTTCAAGTGCCTGGCAGTTTTGCATATTTGATTTTGAAAGGCCACCCCTGGGATAAACCAACAGATGCTCAGCAGCTATTTAAGTTGCTTCGCCGGTATCTTTCAGTAGTTACAATCATCTATTTGTGAAACTCCCTGTCCATCTGCTGTCTCGAGTTAATAATTTTGTTGGGATCCGCATCTACACATGAAGGCTCACTCTGAGAACTAATGTGCTACATGGGAGTGTAGTTTTTGTTCCTTTTGACTGGTAAATAAAGTTTTGCATATGAAACTTAGGTCGGCAATGACTTTTCAGAGTGCTCTGTGTCTTGGTGCTTGATACAGTATTAGAGGGTGTATACTGGAATTACAGACTATGTGGTTGTATGTGATTCCCTGGTCACGTAGTATTTGTAAATTGTAAGTATTCTATCTTTGAATCTGATTTACACCCCCACCACACCCCCCCGCCCCCTCAGATGAGGTAATGAATCCTTAATTTGCTGGTTTCTTGATCAATGTCTCAACCTGCATTTTCCGTTTTTCCTTTTGTAATCATCCTCATCCTGTCTTGAGTTGACTTCCATTAATTATGGCAATGATGTAACCTGTGTAGGGCAGGAGAATTTCTAATCGCCTCTTCTATTTGTCGATTCCTCCAAATATCTTCGTAGATGCTGTAAGATGTTCAAGCTCATCAGCTGCATCCGGAAACGGCTGGACTAGAGTAATTGTGGAGAAACCTTTCGGTCGGGATTCAGAATCCTCAGCTGCTCTGACAAAAGCACTCAAGCAATACTTAGAGGAAAATCAAATATTCAGGTGAGTAATTATAGACAATTTGGTTCTTTGCATGCGATGAGCACTAGTACTACTAATTGACATGCATCATTTCTTTACAGGATCGACCATTACTTAGGAAAGGAGCTAGTGGAGAACTTGTCAGTCCTCCGCTTCTCAAACCTCATATTTGAACCTTTGTGGTCAAGAAAGTATATAAGGAATGTACAGTTGATATTCTCAGAAGATTTTGGCACCGAAGGGCGTGGAGGGTAAATTTCTCTCCTACTTTGTCTTTTTAAGGTCAATTGGAAGTCCATATAGTCATTGTTTGTGGATGTGGATCTTTTTAGGTACTTTGACAACTACGGAATAATAAGGGACATCATGCAAAACCATCTACTTCAAATACTGGCCCTTTTTGCCATGGAAACTCCAGTCAGCTTGGATGCAGAGGATATCAGAAATGAGAAGGTTTTAACCCGAATCTTTATGTGGCATCTCCTAATTCTTCTAGGCATACTTGAGTAGCATTTCAAACGGCTCACATGGGAGAGCTCAGTGTCATTGCGTGTGAGCCATGACTCCAATTATATGTGGCCCATACCAGGTCAAAGTTTTACGTTGCATGAAGCCTTTACATCTTGATGACGTGGTAATTGGTCAGTACACAAGCCACAAGGAGGGATCTACCACTTACCTGGCCTACACCGATGACAAGACTGTGCCAAAGGGGAGCTTAACTCCTACTTTCGCCGCGGCAGCCCTTTTCATAAACAACGCAAGATGGGAAGGGGTGCCTTTCTTGATGAAAGCTGGAAAAGCATTACAAGATCGGAGGTACCTAGAGTTGCTAAAAGTTGAAGATTCAACATATCTATATGTTATTCTATATGAAACTTGCACGTTTTGATTGCGCATACTCATCCATCTCTTGCCTAACGATCCAATTTTCCTTGCCTTTTGCACCGTTATTTTTCAGGGCTGAGATAAGAGTACAGTTCAGGCACGTGCCTGGCAATTTGTATAACCAGAAACTTGGGACGGATCTTAATCAAGCCACAAATGAGCTTGTCATCAGAGTGCAGCCAGATGAGGCTATTTATTTGCTAATAAACAATAAGGTCCCTGGGTTGGAAATGAAATTGGACCACAGTAATCTGAATCTACACTATGCCGCGAGGTACAATTATATTTCTGACATTTTTCAAAAAGTTTTTGCAAAATATACTTCTGAGCATATGCAATTGTAAATCTCTCCCTTTTAATTTCGTTGAAATGACATATTTTTGGTAGTGAGATACTACTAGCAAAACATGCTCACATCAATAATTGTAGAATATAGACACTGTAGTATTTCTTCAAGCATCCATTTTGTCCATTTTTTCCTTCCTTTTAATTTGTTGATTGTGATTCTAGTTATAAAGAGAAGTTCTAGCACAATGTCTTAGTGGCTTTACATTTGAAGTACCTGGGGAAAATGGGGAAAAGAGAAACAAATTTCGACACTTCATGTGATAATGCTTCATTTAGTGATACATGCTCATGACAACTTCTGCTCGTGCCTTTTGTAGATATTCCAAGGAGATTCCTGATGCATATGAAAGGCTTTTGCTTGATGCTATCGAAGGGGAAAGGAGAGTCTTTATCCGTAGTGATGAGTTGGATGCTGCTTGGGCTATCTTCACGCCTGTGTTGAAAGAGATTGAGGAGAAGAAAACCATCCCCGAGAGCTATCCTTACGGCAGTCAGGGCCCTGTTGGGGCACACCGTCTTGCTGCAAGGTACAACGTAAGGTGGGGTGATCTCGGCACAGGCCAGTGACCTACAACAGATAACATTCTTCTATTTGTTTGTTTTTCCGTTCATATTTTTCCCCACTTCAAGTTGCATTATTTGTAATCTTGGTCCAGAAACTGCTCATTGCAAAAATTTGAGCATTTACCAGGACTTTGGCCAGATGTGAAAGGCTTCAGTTTAGGGGTATAAAGTAGTCAATCCTACAGGTATGAGGTACAGGGCCAAGGAAGAGCCATAAAGTCTCCTTTACCATTCGTTCTTGTCAAATACTTCTCAAACACTGGAATAATTTGCTCTTTCATGAATACAAATAATAACCCCATTTTTGTTTTTCCTTTCGAAGTCGGATGGCAAATGATGCTACTCTTCGGGATCGTTGTTTAGGCCAATCAGGCCATGGATCAGAAACCCGTAAACAATCCTCGTCTCTTTTATCCACTTTATTTGCTGACCCAGAATAGGAATCGTCTATTCTTCTATTCTGGGCCGGTGTCATTGCTCAAGCGTTTGCTTTTGGGACATCTGAAGTTGCGTGATATGCATACTTCCAATTTCTTGGAAGAGCATCTTGAGCTATTTGAGAAACGAATGAGGGTGTGTGGATCCCTTCAACTTCGAACGTCCTGAATCAGAGAGTGATAAAAAAGCTACAAAATTGGGAATAGATTCTTACCGCGACATGTCTTCTGAGAAAGTTGAGGAGGCAAAATCCCTTTTGCTTCTCTTTTATGTTTTAAAGTCAACGTTTACAAGAATTCAGTAGATATCAGTGCAATTGCAAGGAAGAATATGTTCTGATATAATCCCTGAATAAAAAAACAACCAGCAACTCTATCAAAACAACTCTGCACCAATTCAGGTACAGTTGGCTCTTTTTTTCTTGACTTTATTCAGTTTTCTATATTAGGGCAGTATCTTGTTCTTACAAGTTGGGACATCTCTCATCCTAGCCTTCTGTGTACTTTCAGAACATTCACTCGGAACAAGATATGCATTCACTAGGATTGCGGAAACCCAAATGTCCCAGCTCAGTTCTCCAGCCGTGCATGAACTTTTTCGTAGAGCTCGCATGCGTGCAATCACACTCCCCTGATCGGCGTCCCTACTCGGCTCATTAGACTAAAGCTCAAACATGTTTATGCACGCCAAAATATCTTAGCGACAAGTTCAAATTTGCATTCCCTATCTAGATGCCCCATAAAAAAAATTCTATTACCAAAGCCCACGTTCAAGGAATTTTTCATGGTACACTAGCGTACCGTACACCCACTTTGGTTTTACAACTGTTCTATACTTGGCTGTCGTAAACCAATTTTACCATGTGTTGTGACGTTTTTGCACTCGATTGCGAACACACGTCGTAATGTTGTGCTGTACACTCCGGTATCTTAGAAGTGTCCCCCATGTTCTTATCGACCACGCAGCTCTTGAGAGCATCTCTCTTTTATGAGCAGAAAGGGGAAAGCTTTCAGAGACTTCAGATCTTACAAAATCACATGTCAGGCAATTACTTTGTAAGGACAAATCTGTTTCACTCTCATCGCATTTCACACCTTTGTGGGTGCAACCTAAGCGTCTGAGCAAACCATTTTTCTTATCCTAGAAAAGGCCATAAAAAGGCCCTCCACAAGCTACTGCAGTCTGCAGGTCCAAAGCAAGCACAAGGCAACCCACTTGCTAATTCTGTTCTCTGATCTTTCGTATCTACAGGCCCAAGTCGGCGAAAGAATAAAAGAAGAAAATTTACTTGTTTTTTTTCCTTTATCAATTAGAAGTGGGGCAACAATTTTGCAATTGGCTAGAACCAGACAGGTTCGGGCGTGGTCCCAACGTGGGTTGTTCTTGGACCACGCAATATATCGGATCCTGCTCATTAAAGAGAGCTCAGATTCGATCAAGACTCCCCCTCTCAGCTTCTTATGAAAACCGAGCCATCGTCCCAAAGACGTCGTATTATACCGTGTTGTATGTATCTCCTACACGAGATATCGCACTTGGCAAACACTGCGAAAGTTTTCGACGATCGAGGTCTATTTACTCTGTGTGTAATGAAGTGCCCGTATCCCTCTTGTTGCGTGCCGTGCGACTCGTACGGATCCAGAATCACAGCTGTCGAAAGAATTGGTGAGAATGGGGCAAAAAATAAGAAGAAGAAAAAGAGAAAGACATTCTGATGGCTCAGTCAAAGAGATCTGGGGAAGCGGAGAGGTCCCTCTCTTTGACAAATCCGTGATGAACGTGACAACTCGAGCGCAATGTGGGGTCGTTGTTTTGGTGTTTGTGGCGACGAAATTAAATTGCTTTTCGAGACCTAAGTGCCAAACAAAAAAAAGCAGAAAAAGAGACCCCCCACAGCTTCTGCTTCAACAAATGTGTAAGGTAGCCATGAAGGGTACAGAAAGCAAAATTTGTGTGTGTGTGAACACGAGCATCGATGAAACGAGGCAGAAATTGAGTTTGAAATGTGCGAAGATCATTGTATTGAATGTGGTTTTCTTGGATGTGTCGATGAGCGCAGATGCTAATTTCATAATGTCATCTGTGGGCAAAAATCCGGACGACGGAATGCGAACTAAGACGAGTTAAATAGTAAATGTAACCCGTCATGATTAGACATTATGGGAGTGGACTCGTCTTTTTTATTGGTCTATAACATAGTTGGTGTAGTGTCTCTACTGCATCAAATTTTATGAAAATTCGTGGATTTTTATTTTCTAATCTATCAAGATGTGAATTTGTGATCTGATGCCATTATATTATGCGCTTCAACTGCCTGTGATCGTTTGCTCCCTTTTCCCTCTTCTAGTTTTCCAAAAGGGTTCAGTTTTGGCACTTTCCCTCTTGGTTGTGACGAGCTGGATGCACCGACCACGATGGCCAAAATATAGCAGCGACAGTGAGTTCAGTAATTAAGACTTTCCCTGTCATAGGATCTCATCAAAGTATTGACTCATCAAATTCGAAATGGCATTTTATATAGCAAAGCTTTAGCCTGTCTAGGTCGAACTGAAGGACCAGTTTGATTCGTTCCTCTTTCGATAAATCTTTCAGAATACAACCAGACAACCACATTTTCCAATCCATAGTAGGTATTTTAATCAGCGTATGCTGAATATATAAGGTTTAGGTGCGTGGAAGAACAAGCAGAAGCAGGCACGTGGGTTTTTTAAAATGGCCGAGTGAGGTAGGTGGAGTAGGGGTGAGCGCGGTTCCAGGGTAGAACCGGGAATCGAAGAACTGGACCCGGTGGGTCCGGTTCGATTCCAGGTTCCATGGACAAAGGGTCCAGTTCCCGGTTCCCCATTTTTAGGAACCGAACTGGATCGGAACCTAGAACCGGAACCAAGAACCAGGATCAGGAATCGGATCCCTAAAGGTTAAAACATAAACTACATATTTAGTATTTCGAAACCCTAATTCCCAAATGCTCGCTTCTCCTCCTGAATCACCCGATCCTCCATCATCGTCCCTCCAAAGCTCGCTCCCGCTTCCGCTTCTGCCTCGCTCCTGCTTCCGCTTCCGCCTCGCCCTCGCTCCCGCTTCCACTTTCGCTTCCGCGGTTCTCTCCCACTTCCGCCTCGCTCCGCCTTCTTCGCTGCAGGTCCTGTGATCTCCCCACGCGGATTCGCCCTGATTATTCGGGCTCGCCGCCGTCTTCCTCCTCTGAAGCTCCGTCGCTCTGGTACGTAACGTCTTCGAACAACCCCTCGCCATTCCCGCCTTCTCTCTTTGAATTCCCGCCGTTGCTTCGGTTCATCTTTAGCATCGATCGATCGAATTCAATCACGACAATCGTGCCTGAGCTGCGTGAAATCGTGCTCTTGCGTGCACATTCATCTGGATTCATCGCCTAGTAGAAATGAGACGAGGAACGACGATGAACGGATGACGAAGCTGTTCCGAACTCGAAATTCTAGTCATTCGGTTTCGATATTCAGTCAAGATCACGCTCTTGCGCGTGATCAGAAAATGTAGGAAGCGACTGCATTGTTTTTCTGTATGGCACGAATCATGTTTTCTACTTGCTATGAAATTCGCAGTAAAATTTATATGAAGTTACCTATGAAAAAATCAAGTAAAAGGAATACATTTGCTTTGGATGTATTCACAGTGTAGCGGGAGTTTAAAAGGAATATATTAGGGCATGTGTCTTTGAGTCATTTCGTTGGGAAAGTTCCATTCAGAGGAAGGTGATTTGGAGTGAAAGCGAGGTTGCTCTAGTTTTATATCATTACTTCAGCATACGGAGTTGGAGGTTCTTGGAGCAGTTGGCTCATCCTTTAAGCTTGAAATCCTTATAAGCATAATTGGAGGATCACTAGCCCTGGTCATGTGCCTATTCCATGTAAATTAACTTTTCTAGCTTCATCTTTACTGTTTCCTTTCAGTATTGAAGGTGGTGGAGGAGCTTGGAGGAGCAACTTACTTTGATGACCAAAAACAAAAACTTTTTTACTTTGGAGGAGCTTGGAGGAGAGTATGTTTTGTACTTTTTGTTGAGAAAAATGTGACATCTTACCTTGGAATTTAAAGTCATATGTATTGCATCCCAACAATTGCTCTTTATCATTCTATCCCCTTTCTTTTAAGAAAAATGTGACTTTTCAATAACTAGTCTTTTGTATTCTTTTTTATGAATATTCATTTTCGTTTTGATTAACTAAAAATAAAATAAAATAAAAAAGAACCTGTTGGAATCTGGAACCGACCATGGAACCTGTAACAGGGTAGGTTCCAGGTTTCAAGTTCCAACGGGTAGGTTCTAGGTTCCAAAAAATGAAGAACCTGTACTCGAGGGTAGATTCCAGATGGAACCTGTGAGGAACCTGGAACCGCTCACCCCTAAGGTGGAGGGATTCCAAATGGAATCTAGCCTTTTTGTTTTTCTGCCCCTTACCTCTTTTATAACGTAAGCGTGGAGACTCAACTATTTGGAGGATCGTGAAATACTTTCTAAATGGGACATATCGTGCGGTTTGTAGATCAACATGAGCATGCCCATATCTTTCTTACACTGTAATAAACCCTATCTATCATGCCAATAGGCGTGCAATCCTATTGGTAAAGGGATTGGCGGGTGAGAAAGCTAGAATCATAAATGGGGTTTGAATCCTGCACTCTGCAAAAGTCAGTGCAAAAGTCAAAAAGTAACGAAAGTTAGAGCTACGACATATTAAAAAAAAAAAAAAACCCTATCTCTCATACTTCACTTTTGGACAACTCCTTGTCCAAACATTGCGTATTAAATAAGACTTTTATAAATTAGCTTTTACGGGAATGACCTTTACTTTTAATATTTTGACTCTTTGTAAATTTTGTAAAACTCACGCTTTGACCTTTATTTAACCCCATAGTGCTTGAAATCTTCGAAGATATTAGGATATTTACCTATTGAATCGTATATAATTCTTTCAAAAGTTAAAATATGTTTTTATAATTACCTATTGAAATTTAAAGTAAACGATAAGCGCAGACAAATGACTTGGAGGAGCATATGTTCTATATGTCGAGTTTATAACACCCTTTACTTAAGTCAAGAATAGGGATCAGCATCTACTAATTGTGTGATAATTATAACACAATAATTAAAACAAGGAAAAGCAATCAATAAATCCTAAAGTATTTTTTTGTATCCTACTCTAACTCTCAATTCACTCTCGGACTTTTGCCTTATTTCTTTGCAGAGCGTGGAAGTCGAACTCCATATCTAAAACTAAACGTCCCCACCTCTAACCCTCCCTGAGAAGGTGGCGAATCGAACTTTCTACATTTTTCCCCTTCCCAAGTAGGAAGAGTGACCAAGGCAAATCCTAGTGGTTAAATTTTAAAGTTCACCTTAATTGATTTCATCTAGATGGCTCTCCCTGTATTTATGGTTTATTGTTAAACGTCGTTGTCATTCCTACTAAGATAATTTCCACTCTGATTAATGGGGAAATAAATAATTAAAAGAAAACAACATTAACAAGAAGCTAAGCCATGCTTAATTGCCAAATATAAGTGATGTGACTTAATAACTATGTCCCACTGAGTTCGAGCTTGGTGTTGATTCACCCCACCACGTTTCTTCCTCTGAGTCCGTATCAACTCGGTGCATCATGAACACGTCTAGCTTCTTTTGCTAATAATGCTTTATAATGATAAAAGGTATATAATTGAGTCACTTCTAAGTTTTTCTCCCCAATAATTAATTTATAATCCCACACTCTCCTTGTGCCGTATGATTGGTCTTGTAATGCGCCGTCGACCCATTTGATGTCGAGTGATATTTCTCGCATAGTTGAGACAGTCGATGATACGATTGACGGCATTCGTTGAATTATCTTTGTTTTGGCTCGAAACATAGCTATTTTCTACTTGATAGTCTCACTCTCGCTTCAATATGACCATTCTCATGGTCTACGATAATTCCACAGCACATCTTATCGTTTCTTGCATACCCTTTGTACCAATAAAACAAAAGGGGAGGGGGGGAAGAACATCCTATGAAATTGACTAACAACAACAAGTGCTTTTTGTAATGGGACTATACACTTCTATGATACTTTGGATGTGCCATGTGATATCACGGCGTGTCGTGGTAATTTTTTTTTTGTCCTGCTCTAACTCTCAACTCATTCTCAAACTTTTATCTTGCCTCTTTGCAGAGTGTGGGAGTCGAAACCCATATCTGAAATTAAACGTCCTCACCCTTAACTTCTCGATGAGGTGAGTGTTGAAGCAAACGCGGAAAAACAAACACAGAACATAAAGATTTACGTGGTTCGATCATAAGGTGATCTACGTCCACGGGTGAGGCAAAACAAGATTCCACTATAATAAAAAAAAGTATAGTTTTCAGAAGTCGAAAAACGACTTAAGAAAAACCTCACGGCTCACAAATCTCTCCCAAAACGAAAATCTCTCTTAATCAATGAAAAAACCTAGCCGCGATATAAATAGAGCTTCCCAAAAAATTTCGGCCCAACCCGGAGCAAGCGAACTAAATCTCAATTTTTTCTCCACTTTTGGGTCGCACAAAAAATATGTCGGGTCGAGTAATGAACCGGATCGAGTACATAAAATTCAAGGCATATTTAACAGTGAGGAATCGAACTCCCCATCTTTCCCTTCCTAAGTGGGAAGGTGGGTCACTGAGACAAATCTCAGTGATTGTCGCCGTGATTAAGTACAAAAACATCATAACATGTGATAACCATAATGGGTCTTAATCTAGTTGCAAAAAAGTAACGGTACTAGTATGTGTCTCTCACAGAAAAATACACGGTGGACGGTATACAAATATAGTGGGGTTGTTGGGATTATCCCATCATAGTCGATCTTGACTTGAGGTTTTATATTATTTTTGTATCTTTAGAGGAGTGGTATGGGGGTAGGCTGGCTCCCAAATGAATTATTCGTTTTTTTTTGGTCGAATAAATAAATTATTCCACAAAGGGGTTTTATTGAAAAAAAAAATAGAAGGAAAATTGAACCCATTACCACCACAATTTGGAGCACAGCATGGGGAAAACCATACAAAAAAACATGGATATACTGATCTCGTGTTAGTACCATTGCCTTTTTTTCGACCGTTTTACACTTGACTAAGATGAATTGTCGTGATGTTATGATGGGTTACAAGACTCTTGTACTAGATTACGACGACACGTCGTGGAGAGGTAGGAGAGAGGCTTCTTTCCACTCTCTTTAGAACACGAATATTCTCAATACATAGTAAAAACATGAGAGGCCACGAAAGAATTTTCGATACCGACATCGCCGTACATTAAAGTTTGCGGATCAATAGAATGAGATTGAGTGTATTGAATTTTCACCGTTGACTCTTATCCTCAAAGACCCGCTCAAAGGACGTCGCCGAGTTTCACATTTACCGCATCATAACGCACAATTCGAGGGCGGCGAGAGGGCGTCGAACACACGAGCAAAAAGCCTTTCCCCGGAGCAGTATAGGCAGGTCTATAGTCAAACCCAAAAGCGAGAGAGAGAGAGAGAGAGAGAGAGAGAGAGAGAGAGAGAGAGGGAGGGAGGAATCCTGCAGCTAGGGCAAACAAAAAGAAGCAGAATCCCTTTAGATTTGGCAAAAGGGCAAGGACAAGAGGGGCAGAGGAAGATGTCCTCCTTAAATCACACTTAGCACAGCAGAAATCTTGCTGAGATTTTGAGCCTTGATGATCAGAGACATATTCCCCCTCAAACCCACCCAAAGGTGTCCCCTAAAAAGCACAATCAAATCTCCACAAAGATTTTCTTGATCTGGGGGGCAAGAAAGGGAAACCCAAGCTCAGCCCCTCCTTCAAACTATAGGACCTTTTTTACACCTACATGCTGTCCATCAATAGGCTTTTACCATGTTCGTGCCACAAGTTGGCAAAGGCATATCAGCACTTTGCTTCCCGGTCACTACATGTCGCTTACAAATTAACTGCACGTGTCGATGTCGGCTTTGGCATTACAAAGAGCACTCGGAATTAAGGAGATTCGGATTTCTCGTTCATGATCGTTTGGATCCGCTGTCCTTTGACAAATGCTCTAGAGCTTCTTGCGATACTTAAACTAAGATCGCTCCGATCGGCACGTAAACCTGCACACCTTTAAGCGTGGCTACCGGGTGCAAAACTTGTTGGCCTAGCTCAATCCTAAGTAAATTTCAGGGGGGGGGGGGGGGGGGGGGGAAGGCTAAAACCTTAGGAAATGAAAGAAGAAAAAGAAGAAGAAATGGTTTTAGGATGTCGTTAATGTATTTACATTGACTAGGCCCTCCTAAAGTGAAAGCAGAGCGTCCTCAAAACAAGGCAGGAACGTGAGCTGAGTGAGAATGCTAGCAATACATAAACTAAGACAGACATTCATTCACAAAGCCGCCATGTGAACAGTAGAATCGCAACAAGCTCGGCCACGCTAGACCCCCCAATTCCGTGATCCCAACGGAGGGATTCGACCAATTGGAAAGGAGGGAAGCAGAGAGCGGGGCCACCGATCGAGGTAGAATACCCCGTTTAGACTCGATCCATTGTGAACCCGGTGAATCACACGTATGTCAAACGAACGGCGTAATTTCATTTTACAGTAACAATGCGCGACGTGCGAGTTAGATGCATCTGGCAATTCGTGCTCACGTGTCATGTCCGAGTTCTGTAATATCATCTAGCCAGTTCCATCGAATAACATTATATTTTGCCCAATAACCGTGTTATTTCGTGTCGGACATTGCCAGGCCTTCGCGCCGCGTCACATCGGGACGTATTTGGTATCCCGTCTCGTATCTGTAGACAGGTTGTATTCACCATTCCCATTCCTAATTGCGCGCAGATGTTTCACAAAAGCGATTTCTTACCAACGAGAGTCGCTCAGATACCCCCGACGTGCGAAACAAGGCGATTCATTTCACACGAGTCTCATCACAAGGACCAAAAAAAAATCACTCCAAAATTTAATTGTAACAAAAAAAATACTCTAGGTAGGTCCTCGCGAGCAGGAATATTCAAGTCTTCATTTTTTCCATCTGTCAGATTCACCTTGTAAAACTCTTGCAATTTTTATGCTCTTCAATTTTTCAATGCACTCTCTCAATATGGTATGTGTATAATAAAATGACAAAACAAAAGGCTGATGAGAAGAGTACGCAGGCGTGTTGTGTTGTGGTGGTGATCTGTTCCTTTTCTGTGTCCCTCCAAAAACTCATCGTCCAACTCAAGAGCCACCACCAGCCGCGCCCCTCGGCCAACGCACCACTCCGCCATACATAGAAAAAGGCAAAACGAGGAAAAGGGAAGACATAACTCACGAACGGTTTGGAATTTCAGGATGGCGTGTGTGCAAATCGCAATGAGTTGAAACAGAGAGAATTCTTGACAGAGGAAACGAAGAGCAGAACCAGAGCAAGAACCTCTCTCTCTCTCTCTCTCTCTCCCTATCTCTGTCTGGCGGCGCTCGGTTCTTTTCGTTCTTTCTTCCTTTCTTGCTCTGTCTTTCTGGGTGGTGGGCGAGATATGGATTGCTGGTCTTCTCCTCTCGCCGTCGACGACGAGTTTGAGAAACTCGTTCTTAGAATGAACCCACCAAGGTACATCATGGATCCGTGCGGACCGTGCCACGTTCGTTCCCTGTTCTTGGGGTCTTGTCTCGTGTTCGCGTGTTCATTTCTTGCACCTCTGTTTCGCGGGCTCTTGTTCCTATACCATACCACCCCCCCAGCCCCCGGTTTTCCTTCCGCTTTCTTGCTGGAATTTGACCTTTTTGTTTTCGAGGTGTTGACGGGTTCTTTTCCTGTGCTTGTTTTTCTGCGGCTGGTGCTGAATTTTCAGGGTTACGGTTGATAACGAATCCAGCAAAAAGGCCACTCTGGTCAAGGTACTTAAAAAAGGTTTTTATGGTCTTCATGAATTATGTATTGTCCTGTGTATGAATTTTTTGGAATTTAGGCCGCAATTGTGTTTCGCTCGTTGTGAATTGTGTTTAGGTTGATAGCGCGAATAAGCGTGGGAGCTTATTAGAGGTGGTTCAGGTCCTGACCGATATGAATCTCATGATTCGCCGGGCTTATATTTCTTCTGATGGAGAGTGGTTTATGGATGGTGAGGCAGTTGAATTTAATTTTTCTTGTTCTTGTTCATTTGCTTGTTACTGCATTATCAATGACCGCTTTTCGTTACAATCATCATTCGCAGTGTTTCACGTGACGGATCCGAAAGGGAACAAGCTTTCTGAAGATGATGTTGTTGAACGGATTCAGCAGGTAGATCGACTGAATGGTTCTACACTTCAATTTTGCAATTTTTTGTTTTAGTGAGAATGTTTCATGAAGCACTGTGTAGAGTGAATGCATGATCTCAACAACAATGGTGACAATTTGGAAAATGGTCCTTCGTTTTTACTAAATCTTGTCTGGTAGAATTGGGGAACAATGTTTCAAGAGGATCAAAGAATGGCCATATGAGATACATAAACAGTTAAACAGAAATTGTGTTCTCTCATCTAAACGAAGCATGTAATGCCAGTCGGGAGTTGTCTGATTGGATCATCAGCATCTTCCCATATGAGCTGATGAATTCATTTGTGTCAGATGTAGTGTCTATAAAGAATCGGAGCTATAGTTGTTGTTCGCCCTGAACTTTGATGATTCAACTGCATTTTGAGCTATATCATGTGAGTTTCAATTGATATTGATGATTCAATAAACATGTGACAGTCACTGGGCCCCGGTATACGGAGTTTTCGGTCATTGAGGAGCTCTGTCGGTGTCCAAGCTGCCATGGAACACACAACTATTGAACTGACAGGGAGAGACCGACCGGGCTTGCTTTCGGAGGTTTTCGCTGTTCTGGCCAACCTGAAATGTAATGTAGTGGCTGCTGAAGTCTGGACCCACAATTCGAGGATGGCGTCAGTCGTTTATATCACCGACGAAGTGTCCAGTTTGCCAATTGACGATCCTGACCGCCTTGCTAAGATTGAGCAGTTGCTCCTATTTGTGTTGAAGGACGACAGAGATATGAAGAGGGCGAATACCGCTGTCACAGTGGGCTCCACTCACACCGAAAGGAGGCTCCACCAGTTGATGTATGCAGATCGCGATTATGACGTGGATGGTGTGGACGGAGGATCAGCAGGAGACCAGAACAAACTTTCTGTCACGGTTGATAATTGCACAGACAAGGGATATACTGTTGTGAACTTGAGAAGCCCGGATCGCCCTAAACTAATCTTCGATACGGTGTGCACCTTGACAGATATGGAATATGTCGTGTACCATGGGACTGTCATTGCCGAGGGACCTGACGCTTATCAGGTAGCAGGCCTACTAATTCCTATCCTTTGATTTGAGTTTCTGGTTGAATGCAGTTCGAAGTGCTTCAAATGTTTGTGTCAGAGAAGTTTTTTACACCCTTTGTTTGTGTTTAGTGATTGTCTATACCAAATGGCGTTCCGGTTCATCGTTCGTGCTGCTTTTTTCTTGAAGTACCCTCCTGTCTGCACTGGACTTGACAATTGTTTGGTGGTAGAATGTGTAATCTAGCAAATTCATGTGGGATTGATCTCTCTTGATATTTTCTTTACCCTCTGTTGCGCCAGGACTATTACATCAGGCACATGGATGGTTCCCCGATTAGTTCAGAGGCAGAGAGGCAAAGGGTGATTCATTGCTTGGGGGCTGCTATTAAGAGGCGAACTTCTGAGGTACAAGATCCACAGAGACTCGCGACTCGCACACGTATAATGCCCTAATGTTTCTTGATCTAAGTTCCTCCTCCTTTCGGTAAAATTGGTTTTTTCTGTTATGTAGGGAATAAAACTAGAACTCTGTTGTGACGACAGATTTGGCCTTCTGGCCGATGTGACTCGAATATTCAGAGAAAATGGTCTGTCGGTTACTCGGGCTGAGGTTACCACGAGGGGTTCGCATGCTGTGAATATGTTTTATGTGACCGATTCCTCCGGTAATCCAGTCAAGAGTGAGATGATCGAGGCTGTCCGGAAACAGATTGGCCTGACGATACTTCACGTCAAAGATGATTCCTACTCGCAGTCTCCACCACAAGACGCCGGTAAATTCTCTCTGGGAAACCTCTTCCGCTCACGGTCGGAGAAGTTCCTTTACAATCTGGGCTTGATAAAATCATGTTCTTGAGAGGTGATTTAGGAAGAATGTAGCTTTTTGCTCTAGTGCCTGTAAACAATAGGACGATTCAGGGCTCGCTCTTAGGTTTTCATTCATGACCACATCGCTTCGACCATGGTTGATCCGGGTCGGGGCTCAAGGTGTGTAGAATCATAAATTGGCTTGTAAAGCACCTTGTACATAGTTCTCTCCAGCCGCAGCTGTTGCTTTTATTGGAGGATGTTGTAAATATATTAGTTCCCCAACTTTAATCAGTCATTCAATCTGATTCTTGTTTTGTGGTTTCTCTGGATACTTTGTTGACACTCTGCTCGCATTTGGTTTTCACTTCTGAATGCTCCGACCATGTATATGGAAATACGTTTCTCCTTGTGGTCGATAGATTATTACTGAGAGTTTCTTATAGCGAAATTACCGCATAAATCCCCTGGCTAGCTCGGTCCGACAAAGGCCGAGGTTTTAACAAGAGTCTAGGCACGGTTCGCTTCCGATCTAGATGTCCTGTCCTCACTCTCTTTTGTTTTGAACCACGGAATAGTTCTTGGCCGAACATCGAGATGCCAGGGGGGATGTAGACGTTTCTTAGACGATCGAGATGGACTGTCGATGCGCGGTGTTCAATTCGAAGAGGACCTAGGCACGAGAGAGATTCCGATTGTCGAGATGCGGTTTCAAGCTAAGGCGTGATCGGGGGGGGTGGGTTTTCCCTTTCGGTCACGTGCCGCGCTCACGAGGTGGCCTTAGTGTTCTTCAGTGAACCATATGTACAGAGACAGCATCGGTCATAAAGGGAGTCGATCTCAATGGAGTCATCCAAAACTGGTCCCTAGTTGTACTTCACGCAGTGACATGAATCGTGGATATACCGGTGGGAGGACTGCCTTAATCAAAACCTTTTGGCAACAGCTCATCGACAGAGACACCCCGGGGTCTACAAAGGCTTACAGCTATCGACCCGGGTTCGTTCTGGTCGCGCCCCGCGTCGAGAAGGAACTCTATCGGCGAATTCCCTTCTTTTCCGGCGTAAATTGGGAGGAATTCCATCCGAAAGCAGCGAAAAATCGACTCGACATTGCGTCGACATCAGAGTACCAATATACTGTACCCACTCAACTAGTGGCATCACGTGTTAATTGCATCTCGATCATTCCTTATTTTCAGGGAAATGATGATTGTATGATTAGACTTCTCGTTGTTGTTCGTTTATGCCATCACATCATCCATCACTTACGACAAGGGCATCATTATGTTCCCTCTTATTCTCCAAATCATTTGTCCCCTGTACATGTACTTGCAAGCTTACAGATGCTAAGGCAAAAAGAAAAGCATGATGGAAATGGTGGATTGATCTTTTGTGTCTTCTTTAAGCCCCCTTTTGCAATCAATTAGGTCGAAGAAGACACCCTTGCCAAGTTCCTTAATTGCGCATTTTGACTTTTAGAAGTGCTCTCCGACCATGATTATGGTTAGGAGCCGCCGGTCTAGTTAATTAATTCGGTAATAAGTGATCGGATCCAATCGGTGAAGGTGTGCGCAAATTGCCCCGATTCAGAGCATGTAGAATCGTCGTCGTCAGTGTCGTCCCCGTCATCATTGGAAGCACTAAACCCTTAAAAATATTCACGAAAAAGGTTCGATCCATCCCAATCTCATGTGGCGTGCACAACGTGGTGAATTCCGGTCCCAGGCATTTATTCTTATCTCGACCTTTTTGTCGATTGTTATATATAAGATATTTTTAGTGACATGTAAAACTATTTATTTTGCGTAATATAATCGCATTTGGCCCAAATAAGACTATGAGACTCGACCTTTTATTTGTTCATTTTATTTGTTTTTGTCAATGGCCACGTCATGAAAAGGTGATGCTTTGCTTTTGGTCGCTCGTGGGCAATAGGGCGAGTGGCGTTTGTCGTCAGCAAAACGTGAATAATGAGGCTGCCATGGAATAGTCTCCAGGTATAGATAGACATAACCATCGTAATTTAGAGTAGAGTTTGTCAAATTGGGTGATTAAGATGAGTAGGTTAGGGTTTGCTTCTTGTAGTTGTGGAATCAAGAAGTAGGAACTTTCGTATGCTCCAAATTTTGTCTTGCTTTATGGCTTCCGAATTGGCTTTCTTAACAGGTGTCTCGAGAGTACTAAATGTCGACATACTTTAGGAATTGAGAAAAGAGCGCGTTTTAAGGAAGTCACCTATTTGAAACAGAAATATTTAGAGAAAAGAAAATGACATATATAGTCCCCAATTTTTAACCCGATGTGCAAGGCCGTTCCTAAATTTTTAATTTGTTCAATGGGATTCCTGAACTTTGATTTAACATGCAATGCCGTCCCTAAACTTTAAATTTTTATTCAATATGGTCCTCAAGCATTTGGTAAATGTTCAATCTAATCCTTAAAATATATGAAAATATCCAAATGTTATCACTCGATTCATTCTTCTTCTTCGTTTTTTGTTCGGAATCCCTCAATTAATTGAAGTTAATAGAACTTGCTGATTTGGCTTCCAATCAGATAAGTTTGAACAATGGACAAAAAAATAACGTTTTTACTTGTGGATTAGCGACCGGCCTTAGGATTCTAGTGCCCGTACTTGGTTCCCCGCTACGCATGCGCAAGTTATCAGCACCCAAATAGTGTGACAATTTAGGAAAATCAAATCAAATCAGATATTCCATATCAAACGACGGAAAATATTTTCTAATTCGTTTTTAGGCATTTGCTAGACACCGCGAAATATTGTCGTTTTCTTAGAAATCGACCTCTAGGAAAATATTTTCTAGAAATGTCACATTGTTCTCGAAACAAGCCGAGCCTAACCAACTCTTCATTTGTTTTGCGGAAAAGAAATGAATTGGAAAATGCTTTCCTAAAAAATAATCGGCCGTATTCCTCGAAATAATTTGTCGCCGAAAAATATTTTCATCATCGATAACAATTTATATATCTAAATATCTTCACAGATAATAATTTTTTTTTTTAATTTATTTATTTTCGTCAGTGATACAAGCGATCGATTCAAAAAAAAAAATTCGAATAGTTTAGTTTTCCGTAAAATAAATGAAACCCGAATGAAATTTTCCCGAGCAACGAGCCCCCAAAAACGACGCGGGATTAACGACCGTCGCTCTCCGCGCTCCCCGAGTGATCCTGCAATCAAGATCGACCGTGACATTAAGAGCGGGGCCCCGACCGACCCGACAGAATCCCCCCAAAATATTGCTTTCCGACCGGATCCCATCCCGTCCCGTCCCCACCCCCGGGGCGTGGTCCACGTGGCACCACGCAACCTTTGTGTGGGTCGGGTCGGGTCGGGTGTCTCGGTCAGCCGCCGGGTACCATCGTGGGGGGCCCCCACCTCGCCCGTACTCGTCGTCCTGTCCTCCTCCTCCTCCTCCTCCCAACTCCGGCCGGGGCCCCACCGTGGGTGTCCCGTCCCTTCGTTTCTTTTGTTTGTTTGTGTCGGGTTTGGCTTCCGTTACTTTTAGCATTAAAGATGGCGCTTTTTTCTCTCCCGCGCCCAACAACCTCAGAAATCATAGGAAGCGCGCGTCATTAAACTTTCAGATTCATGTCGTGTTTTTTGGGCGATTGTCTGATAAAGCAAGACAATGGTTTCTGATTTCGCGCGAAATTGGACCTCACTCTTGCTAGATGCATCGAAATCCGTCTCGGAAGTCCATCAAATTGCCCTGTTCAAACTCGACTCTTAAAGGTACTTCGATGTTTTTTCTTCGATGCCCGATCAAGTTCAAGGCACGATACTGTTGCCGGAGGAGATCGAGCTCCTAGCTTAAAAATTAATTAGCTTGGATGATTTGCGAGCCCATCGAAAGGTTCGATATTATATTTTGGCAATGTTATCTGTACATGCGAACATGCCGTACATACATGCGACTTTGATGTTGATTTGTTATTGTTCTAAATATGAGTTCGGATAAGAACATCTCTTGGATAATCAAGTCAAATTGAGCTCAAGCTTATAGAATGCGCACCCTTTAAATAAAGATCAAGCTCAGTCTAAATCATTTGTTCTTTATTTCAAAAGAGAACTGTGTCAAGTCGCTATTACTTTATTTAGACTCAATTAGGTCCCTAATTGCGGTTGACATTTGTAATAAGAGTTTCGTCTCATGTTTAACTTGAATAAGTGCATTTAATTTGGGTTATCTTATTGATACGGAAAACTTCTTCACAATAAACTCTCTTTCTTTTTTGTCATTTTTGTCGTAGGATTGGCGCCAAATTTTACTCAAAGTAAAGACACGAAAATGGCGGCATCTTGGCACAAGTCACGTGGGGCTGCGGGGGAGTATCTTGTCCGAATCCACCTCGGTGCATGGCGGGGCTGAGAGACGTGGAGATGAGAGGGATCTTCACCTTGACCTTATCATCTTTGATCATATAGATATGATGTCTAGAATTGTATATTCCAGACGAGAAAGACGAAAAGGAAAAGAAAGAAACAGAGGAATTAGGGTTGGGCCCGGATGGGGATGGCTGGTCGTGTAGGATTTTGCATTGCTTCTTTTTTCGGCTATTTTGGCCCAAAGAAAAAGTGGCCGAAAACCATTTGTCTGTACGAGGAGGGATTTCATTAGTTACAATTTTCGCTTTGTTTTGTGAATCGTCATAAATCCCAATCGACTCATTTACTAGGGTGATCGGTTCCCATCCTGGAACCGGAAACTGGACCAGAAGAGTCGGTCCCCAATTTGTGGAACTGGAAACCGACCCACCTGGTCCTGGAACCGAACTGGACCATTCCCGAGTGGGTTCAAAAACTGGCGTGATTTCTTTATTCCAATCGGACAAAGAATTGGAAGGAACGTATTTTTTTTTTTAATTCCTACGGAGAATGGAATTGCTCTTGCAAAGTGAAGTGTGTCTCTGAACGTAGTTTTTGTTCTCTTCTCCAAACTTTTGGCAATAAGAAAAAAGTATTGGTCTGGTCCAAGTGGTTCGGTCCAAACTTGAAATCGGGAACTAGACCGATTATCATTGGGTCCATATCCTAGGAACTGGAAACTACTTGAACGAGCCGGTTTGGTCCGGTTCCCGTGCTTACCCCTACCTTACAGCAGATACAAGCTGAAACAGGGAAATCAGGATTATAAACAATGCAATGCATCCCTCTCCCGCATTCTCAAAGTGGGTCTCTTATCCTGTGGACACGCCCTCGGATTATGGCTGTAATTCAAGTTGAAACAGAGACTTGTAATCATGGCGACAAACCGATCGCGGCAATATGAAGGAATCGAGTGCTCTTATCCGATGCAGAAGCTTTCGCACAAGCACCGTTCTGCATCACGAAAAGCAGGATTAATGGCCTGGAATTTTCCCACAGCAAACTCGCTCACTTTGGCTCTGTTACCCATTATTTGTCCCCCTACCATCTCCCAACTAGAATCAATTCACAAATCCATGTTGGAGCTTGGAAGGATCCAACACAAATGAGAGGCAAGAGAAGGGAAATTCAAGCAAATCCCAGGCATCTAACGGTATCATATATCATCCATCGCTCGAAAGGGGTCTTAGGCTAAAAGAAAAGACTCAGGAGCAGTCATTCTGTGCTTCCAATTTAAAGAAAATTCCGTCGGTACGCTACAATAATCGAGCATTAACAATCGTGACCTGGCTCTTCCCAAGTTTACTCTCAACAAAACAGAGAAATGAATGGAGAAAATTTGAGAGGGGGGCATGACTCAGATTTTAGCCAGTACTAATTTGCACAACACAACTAATCGAGGCATATCACACCATGGGAAGTTCACCACAGTCAGCTACGACCACTCTCTTCCTGGGACGGTCTCCTCGGTCCGTTTCTTGTGACTCGATCAGCTTGACAATGTCCATGCCCTCTAACACTTGCCCAAACACAACATGCCTCTGGTCCAGCCACGGCGTCTGTCATTAAACAAGATGAATCATTGATATGGCTGAAAAGAATGACTAGGAGAAATTGAAGCACCGATGAGATTTTATATACAGGGTAGGTCGCTAGAGTTCCCAAACAATTAGTAGATCACTAATAAGCTGCAGAAGTGACTAATGTGTGGTTTGCATGGAAATGAACACTGAGGCAACATTCCTGGTGGATTGTGGTGGTTGGAGTGAAATATTGTCATGCATACACTGCATACATGGATGACGTGCTTGCATAGCAATTTTGATGCATATATGAGGATTAAACTAGTTAAAAAATGTCAGCTACGTCTGAGCAAATTTTGCCGAAAAATGTTAAGAAGGAAGCACTGATAACAACTTTGATCAACTCCAATAGTAGTTACTGAGCTCAAAATTAAAGGATGCTATAAGAAAAAATGAGCAATGTAGCAAAAAGGTGACAAATTTGCAATAAGAAGTTCCTCTCTGTTACCATCACCCCTGATTGCAAAATTCCACTCAAGCGGGGTAACAAAGAACTTAGCCTTAAAATCTGTCTCAAGAGAGGTGGGGAGGCATGTTAGACTGATCTAATTCTCCAGGAGATTATAGATTTTGGTAGTATAAAGTAATAGAAAGGACACAGCAGGAAGGGCAGAAGGCCTACAGAAAGGAGTGGGACCCCGTCCCCACTCCAAAACCCGCGAACTGTGGGTCTTACTTGCCCTGTTTGGGGTGGGGTAGGTTTTTTGTTGGGGCAGGTCTTAATGCCTCGAATTGAGTGCCTTTTACTTTTGGTTGAAGTGATGGCTATTCAGATCCAAAGCAGAAGCAAACTGGTTTCACGAACTATGTTCCACAGAATTTGTTTGGGCAAACAATTAGCTAAAAATTCAGAAGCTTTGTCCATGCAATGCACTAGCCAATCACGTATGATATTACTGATCAACAAAGTGGCATCCCCAAAGCATAACATATACACCATTCCAATCAAGGATTTGTTGTAACTACTTAAAGGAATATGAATAATTAAGTGAAAATGGTCGTATAATGGGCATGTCAAGAACTATAAAAACAGTTGACCAGGCTTTTAAGGACGTTAAATAACTAAGACATTAGTCATCTCTCTCTCTCTCTCATCCAGCCTAAAAGCTACTATAGATATGCTCCTATAAAATATAAAGCTTCTAATAAAAATTTACTTCTCAGACACCAAGCTCTCCTAGCGTAAATGATCCTAAACAAAATTCCAAGGTTCAAAAATTGCGCCGGGCAAAGAATATACTTCTTTATGGAATTTCTGCAATAGCTCTTTTTTCCAAATGCACTCCAGCCCCCACAATCCAAAACTCTATTAACATAGATAAATATGAAAAGTTGATAGCTCTTTTTTCCAAACGCACTCCAGCCCCCACAATCCAAAAAATCTATTAACATAGATAAATATGAAAAATCGAGGAAACCTTCCAAGACGATATCCTTATTCTCAGGGCTGGAAAAACATGACTTTTATAGTGACATGATAAATTATCAGCAACATCTTGTGGTTAGAAAAAATATAAAATTAAGATTACCTTCACAGTGCAGATAAAGAACTGGCTCCCATTGGTGTTGGGGCCTGCATTTGCCATGCTGACCACCCCAGGTCCAACATGAGTTACTGCAACGCATTCCATTATTCTTAATAAGAGGGATCTTGTCAGACATGCGTGGCTTTCAATAGAAGAATAACTATATTTTCAAATTCTGCTAAAAATTGAAGGACAGCACTCAGAAGAAGTGAGAGGGTGGGTTCAAGTTAGGAATCGCCGCCAACACATGCTTAGTACATGAAAACTAAATATGAGAAATCCGTATTGACAACGGCCACTATAGTTAGAATGCATATGAGATGCATTAAGCATTAAATCAGATATCTTAGATCATAGTCCTCTACCAAAAAGTAACCAAAAATGGGGATTTCTAAGACTTGTCCTTATCCTAGGATTAGTACGGCATAAGAGAAATAGTCTTACACTTAAAGTTTTCATCTTTAAAAGTACGGCCATATATGCTTTTACCCCCTGTTCCCTGCAATAGAGACAAATATCAGACTGGTTCAGAATCATTTAAACTATCATCGTTGGGGTCACCCTTAAGGGAACTAGAATGCCAATAAATTCACACTCCAGACAGATGAAGGATTGGAGAGAGTTCCTTGAAACTGTTTATACTCTCAAACCAAAATTACCTGACAAGAATCAGCACAAGTTACAACACACACTAAGTTAAATGGTTAATAGCATGCCTTATAAAAAATCGAACGGTTCCAAAGAATCTCAGCTGTTCAAGGAACAAATGCAGCAACTCATAGATATTAGCTACAAAGTAACCGACAATTGCCACATTTTCGGAGAGTATGCCCGTAGTGTTCAACGTAAATGCTAACAAATACCCGACAAAGCCTAAAAATGGAACAAAAAAGACAGATATACATAATGGTTAGAAGTGGCTGTGATACTTAACACCATTTATGATCCGAGACTAGGGGATATAAACCATCAATACAAGCATCCTAGGAGGCTCATGATAAAAACACTGGTATTATGATACATTGGAAGTCTATACCAAAACTTCTCTCACATTGTGTTTGAAGATCATCACATATTCTTCAACTTGAATTATTGTTCTTTTAATTCGAAGAACTGGCTTCACAACTTACTACGAGAAATACTCTGTCTCATCACCTTTAATGTCTTTAACTACCTTTAGATGCCCCAATCTAATGCTGCTTTGGTTTTTTTCTTTTCTGCTTTTAGTTATTTGCTCTATTGGGAGTGGAAGAGCTTTGAACTGTCTGCGAGTCATCTTACAAAAGAAAAACCAATGTTGATTATTATCAACAAGTATTACAAATCCAACTGCATCATCCATCACTCACATGCCCTCGGTGAGACCAGGCCTTGGCATCACCCTGTTCAATTGACTAATTTCACTCCGATCACAAGGAATGAATAGGTACAAAAGAGCCTTAACAACTGTTATGGCATGAGATGACATTCAATCAGAAGAGGTAAACACGGTAACCATCAAAAGGAAAACAGGCCAAAGCTACTATAATGCGAATTTGAGGACACCGATGAAGTACCCACATTTCCTTTGTCAAAGTCACCTCCCTGGATCATAAAATCTTTGATGACACGGTGGAACGCTGAACCTTTGTATCCAAAGCCTTTCTCTCCTGAAGAAAACAAAGAACAATCGGATAATCATCTTTTGAAAACAGCCTCCAATTCGCGCAATGCAATACTTGATACATGCCGATAAGTTAGTTCCACGGTAGAGAATTAAGTAAAACCTGTGCATAAAGCGCGGAAATTCTCTGCTGTTTGCGGAACATCCTCGCCATACAATCCAATTACTATTCTTCCGGCTAGCTTCCCAACAGGGTTACCGATGCTAATGTCAAAGTAAACTTTGTTGGTAACTTTCGACTGAACAGCCGCATCCTGAAATCCCAGAAGAGACCAACACACTCGTATAAGAGATGCAACCTACAGTGTATTCCCTTAGATTATGCAGACGCCTATTAGTTTCAGAGAATTATAGTCCTCAATCCACTTCACGGGACCAACACGTTACACTCCCAGAAAGATCGTCCCCTGCTTATCGCGACACATTGCTTTTGACTTCGGTTTTGACAATAATTCAGGGCTCATTCCCACAACAACAATAACAACAACAACAACAAATTCAACTCAACTGTCAGCCCACTTCCTTTCTCGCCCCTATACTGCGAAAAGCACAAAGATTAAGAGAACGAGAGGACGACATGGGTAACCTCGGCACTCGCTCGAACCGAGCACGGACGGAATTTCCTCCGAGAAGTAGAGTCGAGGGGAGTCAGGCGCAGGGAGCCGGAGAAAGAGCTCGAGGAGGTCGCCGACAAGCTGGCCTTCAACGGAGGCGGCCGGACGATGGCGGCGACATTGCAAGAGGGGCGGCCGAACCCTCCTCTAATCTCCGAGCCGCCGTTCCTTCGACTGGCCAGCGAACCGACATTGGGCTGCTCGGCAACAACGAAATGCAAACGGCAAAATCAAACCGAAAAATCGTCAGCGCTTAATCCCGGAAAGCATCGGCGGGGATGGTACGCGGTATCGGAAGGGAAACGAGGGGACTCACCAGAGCTGTGGAAGAAGCGGCCATGGATGACGGTGAAGGAAGAGGAGAAGAGGATATTTTTCTTTCTGTCGAGAAAAGGTTGAGGTTTGAGCTACTGCCGAAAGTACAAATATGTAAGAGACTGGGGGGATGGGTGGCTGGGTGGGTGCGCGGTGAGACGATGTTCTCGAGAAACGACGACTTCGAGATTGTCAGAGGAGTCGCTACTCTTTCTTTCGAACTTATGTTTTTTTTTTCTTTTAATTTTTGCAATTTGAGATTATGCGAAGGGCAAATCCATCCAAAAAAATTCAAATTTTGCAATCAAAATCCTATAAATTGTGAAAATTCACGTTTTAACATTTTGGTCGAGGTGAAAATTCACAGTAGGAAAGAAAATTTAAAGAAAAATAGGGAGAGACGGGTAGATGTCCCGCGAGCAAAAGTAGCCACCGCCGCTGCTGAAATTTTTGGATGCTTTTTTTCTAAGGTAAAATAAAGGGCTAATCCATCTAAAAGATTCGAGAATTACGACATCTTTTAACCCCGGGTCGCACCTAATTTTATCACCGTAAAAGGGGTACAACACCCAAGAAAGTCGTTCCGTCAAGATCCCGGAATTAAAAGCTGAAAAACGAGTGTGCCTTTCTTCTTTTCTAATTTCCCTTTTCTAATCCGGACAGGTTCCCGAGACCGGTCTATATGTGCACGAACTATATCTATCATGTTCATGAGAGCATGCTCGCATCGACCAGGGTTCAGGCAGTAGGCTCTTCTTCAATTGTTGGCCCAAACATAAAGCAATCTTGACAGATGGGCCTGAATCGGGACTGGTGTTTGCTTGGGTTGCGGTGAGACATTGGGCTCACGAAACAAATCGGAAGGAACAGAAGGCCATAAACTACGGAAACCAACTATGGCCGATGCGATTCTCATTTTGTAGCAGAAGAAAAGGGTAAAAATACAGAGAAAAGATGGGAGGAATGCCGCAGCTCATACATCAATTCTTCGGTTCAGCAACTACCAGACGATCACACCGCTGTCAGTCTCATCACTTTCCACATTTCCTCGGGTCCGGCGACGTCTCCGGGCAGTCCATCGCGTCGCACCGGCCGGCGGCCTGCCTCCTCTTCTTCCTCCTCAGCTTCTCGCACACGAAAGCCCTCTCCAGTTGCTCCACCCTCTGCGACAGCGAGCTCAGCAACCGGGTCTGCCGCTCGTTCCTCTCGAAAAGCTCCGCCATCAGCCCCATCATCTTCTCGTTGTCCTCCACCATCCTCTCCAGCAGCTCCTCGCTCCCCCAGCCTCCCCTCTCCTCGTTTTTGTCGGGCTTCTGCGACTCCACCGCGGCGCCTTCCCCCGGCGGAGCGTTCTCGTCGATTCCCTCGATCGGGCTCCGAGAATGGGGGGAGGAATCGGCTGAGCTTTCCGTTCCGGTGGCCACGGCATCTTCCACGAGTTCGCACGTCGATTGAACAGTGTAACTGTCCGCCGTGATCTCATCTTCGTTCTCGTGAATCTCAGTCTCTGGCTCGCGTGCTGCTTCTGTATCTACTCCGTCGGCCGCCGGCTGTCCCATCTCACGATCCCTGCCTGCATCAGCTTCCACAGAATGCTCCCCATCCGGCTTCGTCGCCACGTCAGCCTCTGGCGCCGTATGCACCTCAGGCTCCGCTGGAGTCTCCTCTGTTTGGTGACTCTCGCTACCAGCATCGACCGAATGGTCCGCGTCCGCCATTTCCGGTCCACTTTCGCCTTCTAATCGCGCCATAACGGCCTCGGTTGCGCTCAGTGGAGGCAGGGCACCAGAGCTACGATCGTCGGCCTCAACAGATTCTCTCCCCGCCGCATCGCCACCTTCGACATCCGCCTCCTCCGCAGAAGCTCGGCCGACGGGGCCTCCGCTCTGCCCGGCGACGATCGCGTCCACCCTCTCCTGCAGCGCGATCGCTCTCCTGATCACCGCCTTCCTGCACTCCCTCACGCCGGCGCCCACGCCTCGGACCGAGTCCAGCCTCAAGAGCAGGCTCATCAGCGCCTCGCTCACCTTCAGCCTCTCCCTCTCGTCCCGCCGCAGCAGCTCCGCCGCCTCCGCGGTCGAGATCCTCCTCTCGACCTCGTCCACCTCCCTCCTCACCGCCGCGATCCTCCCCACGCTCCTCCGCACGAGGAACCCCCGGAACGCGCTCTGGATCCTGACCGCCGAGCCCGACCGGCTCCGCTCCGACCCGACGAAGCGGACGGGGATCGAGACCACCTTCGGCGACGGCGCCGGCGCCGGCGCCGCCCGGGTAGGGACGGCTCTGGGCGGAGCGGGGGAGGGGTAGTAGCGAGGGCGGGGGTGGGATGGGGCGACCCAATGGCTCCTGAAGAACGGGCTGTCCATCATCGGCTGCGATGAACTCTCCTTCTTCTTCTTCTTCTCGTGCGTTTGCGAGTTGTTGCTGCTGTTGTTCGTTTGCGAGCTGTTGTTGTGAGTTTTGGGTGAAGCTCTGCGATGGCGGAGAGGGGTTTTATAGAAGGGGGTGGTGGGGGTGGGAGATTCGAGAAGTTCCAGAAGATTCGGGAGGAGGAAGAAGCATCTGGACACGTGCAGATTCTTCTGGTTTTTGACCGTTTTGGCTCGATAAATAAATAAATAAATGAGCGGAATTAAAAGGTTTTTTTTTTAATTAGTATTTTGCTTCCGGTTGGTATATCAAAATGAGAAAAGGGCTAAGCAATCAAACAGGGGTGCTGCTGACTGGATCGTCGCTGAACAGCTCGCCGCCGATCGCCGTGTTCTTCTCTCGCTCTCGTCGTCGGCGCCGGGTCGGATCCTTTTCCACAGTTGGAGTCACAGCATCAGAAATCCTATCTCATCTACCACAAAGTTACAAAATCACAAATCAATAAACTCGTGCCATTTTCCTCAGAGATGATTTTTGTTTGAGGTGTTTTAAGGTACGGCACGAATGTGCTAGTTTGGGAAATTTTTACTGGCACGAAAAATTTGTTTCGACTAAATATAACGAGATTTACTAGTTTTTCATACGAAAATTAGTTTCGAGAAAATGTGGCACAAATGCATAAATTTAGGATTTTTAGTAGTATCAACGGGACAATTTATCCAACACAAACCAAATTGAAAATAGAATTCTATGCGAAAATATTTCCTTCTTCCTCGAGATGGGTAACTCGCACATAGGGGTGTCAATGGGTCGGGTCGGGCTTTCATGATGCCCGACCCAGCCCGAAATATACAGGGTTGCGCTTGACTTGACCCGATCCGACCCAAGACCCTCTTCATCATATACCCAAGAGTAGGGTCGGGTCGGGTCGGGTCGGGTTTAGGGTTTTTTTACAAGGACCAATCTCCAACCAGCTAAGCTTGAGCGAGAGAGAGCTGCTTTATTTTCTGCAGCTTGTTCTGGACCTCCTCTGTCTCTCTCTCTTTGCATTTGCAATATCAGTTGAGCTCTGCTCCCTCCACCCAATCACCACCCAAGAAGGCCCACGGGAGTAGCTCTGGAAAAATGAGCACTGCCGCCAAGTCCAAGAAGAAATCGCCTGAGCCCTAGTGATGAAACCCTGCTCCAACGACCGGAAGCCCTCGTTGGCCTCCTCTGCCGCCGCCGACCGCAAGACCGTCATCAAGAGCACCGACATGAAGGATGACATGCAGAAGGAAGCCATCGACATCGCAGTAGTCGTAATCCCTCTTTCTCTCTCTCTGATTCGTTGTGTCAATTTGGTGGATCACTCCAATGGGTGTCTATTGTTTGGGTATGGGGTTCTATCTTCTACGATTCTGAAGCTGATTGGTGTGTTTTTTTTTTGTGGGGGTGATGCATTCGAGAAGCACAGTGTAGGGAAGAACAGGATGACCTCCGAAGCTCGGCGTCACTTCGGAACCGAAGATGAGAGCCGCGATGGCAGCTGCTCCTGCGCAGAGGATTGACGAGAAGACGGAGCTCGCCAGGGAGGTGGGGCTCGGCGCCAGGGCCCAGACCTGGCGGTCACGTCGAACGCCGTGAGGGCGAGGACGAGCCACCACGGTCATGTTCACGAACTTCACGGCCGCCATTGCCACGAACTCGAGCTCTTCGCACGCCTTTGAGAGGTTGTAAGGGCGAGGAGGAGCTAGGGTTTCTTGGTCGTTCTTGTGCAGAGAGAGAACAGAGCGAAGGGGAAAGAGAGAGAGAGCGGTAGGGCTCTTCTAGATGAGTTACCTTTGGTGCCAGAATAAAAAAAGCCCAGCTTGGCCCGGCCCGACCTGGCTTGCCCCGACCCTAACAATTACCCACACCGAAAACCCTTATCCAAAGAAGACTAAGACCCGGCCCCAAAATACCCTAAAATTTCGGGCCAGATCGGGTCGGTCCGGGCCGGGCCGGATCTGCTCGGGCTTTTTTGACACCCCTACTCGCACATGTGGATCACATACCAAATTTATTATTTAAATCTTTCTCGTCCTAAAGGCTAGGCTACAGCCAATCAAATAAATTTCCTTGAATGATGTAATTCCCTAAATGCCATAGTATCCTATGAACCTGTTGTGGGTTCTACATTTAAACCGTATTTTTCTCAATAAATTAAACTTCATTCTCTAAAATAACTCAAATCGCATATTTGTATCTTCCTTAATTCCTTTGGTCTTTTCTCGAGTTTTCGTTGGGAGAGAGTGTTCACTGGTCGCACAATTGGAAAGAGTCAACTTAGACGCAGTTCGACCAAAAAAAAAAAAAAAAAACAACTTAGACGGAGAAGGCCTGGAGGATGTTAAGGATGAAATTTAGAAACTGCATGGCACACCACCTCCTCCAAAAATTTAGAGGCTTCTTAGGTACTTGCCCTCATTTTAGTACATTTTGGACAAATTATACCTAGGGAAGTATGTTTTTACTAACCTATGAGATTAACTATTATCAATGTGAAGCTAATTACGAACATTATGCAAGTACAGAAAGGATGTCTTCCGCTGCCTTGCAAAAGGGTGAACGAAAGTTAAAACTCATCTGATTTAAAGTCCATTCATAAATTAGACAGATCATCACAATAATTAGAATTCTGAGCGTTCGAATATCTTTTTTAAGTGCCACGAGTTCCATCGCTAAGAAAACAATACAAGCTTCAGGAGACAAGAATGCGTAAAATGACATTTCCGAAAGTGTAAAAGCCAAATTACCTTCTCCTATAAATATTAAACATAGCCGTTGCACTAATCTAAAGAGAAAACGATACTTAATGAGAGGTTGATAAGAAAGTGGTTACACATTTCACATGTACGAAACTCAAGTTTTGACCATGTCATAATTTTGCCCTAATTAGGCGAGTACAAAATAGCAGCAGTGCATTGCAACGCAAAGGCTGCAAAAGATGGCCCTTGCAGGCAATGTGAATAAATCTCACTTGTGCCCACTATTTGAGAGAGAGAGGGTCCATTTGTCCGGCGAAAAATAAATCATTTGAAAAACATTTTTTTAAAAATGATCATTTGTATCTCTTACAAAAAAGTGTGAACAAAAAATAATTTCACAATCTACGAAAATATTTAGGCATAAATTATTATTGATAATGAAAATAATCTTCATCTCCTAATTATTTCAAACTATACAAGCGATCATTTTTTTGGAAAACATTTTCAAAATAATTCATTTTCGCGAAACAAACGGATCCAAAGTAGATGTTGAAGCCACATGTGGATGTTTAGCAGTTAAATGGTTTTAGCCTGCACTTGAATCAAAGGACTGCATAAGCAGGGCTGACACCCATATCAGCCAACCGATAAGCAGTGAAAAGAATCGCTAGAACCTTTGCTCGGGTGACGAAGCACGGGAAATAAATCCATACCACTCAACGAATAGAAAACTAGTAATACACGCCCACCACAGCGTTTTTCTGGAGTCTGGAATGATAGGTAAATTAGTAGTCCAAGGAAAGCGAAACAACATTTGAACAGCATCTGTCCAAAGACGTCGTGAGCTCACATCTGCAGAGAGAAATACCTTGCTAAAGCATGTTCATTCTATTTGGAATCTTGATGCCTGCTCTTTTCAAGAGTTCACTTGAAGCCCGCTTAGCTAGTGAAATAACTTCCTCCTGTGGGATCCCAGCAATATCAGGAACCAAATAAGTAATCGACAAAATGTAAGTTATCAATATAGCTTGCTAGGTAACTAAAAGTGAGACATCAAATATTTATTGAAAATTTTACAGCCTGTTTGATAATACAGCAAGCAGGAAGCTTTCTAAAACCTGGAACACTACAAATGGATGATTAAAAAAAAAAAACCTACCGAAAATGGGTAGGACGAAGAGAAGAATCAGAGCAAATATCAAATCTCTAATCAGAAACCAAAACTTTTGATAGGTTCCAAAAGATACAAGCAAAAAAGTCTGATAACCAAGAAGGTTAAAAAAAGAAGGAATAACTTTGTGAAGGTTCATGCTTCTTAGCAGATAAGAAACAAAAGCAATGAATTACAAAAAGGTCATTGAAGATGATGGCATGATCCACGCAAACATGACCTTGAAGGCATAAGAAGCAACAACAAAGTCTCAATTTGACCCTGGTGAATCATTTGAATGCAATCAATTGTATAGGCTTTGTAACATTACCTCATCGACTGATAAAATCTTTTTGTCCTTCATAATCCAATGACCATTGCACATCACAGAAACAATGTTTTCGGTTCTCATGCAATATACAAGGCCAGAAATGCTGCGGACGCCAAACATAAGTTCAACTCTTGTTAGAGCCAGTTAAAGCAAGGAGGAAAGTAGAGATTAAGAAAAACGATGTATAAATTGGATTGAGCACATCTTCTCACTGAGTTTTCCCTTTTTAAAGTCTAGATTATGTTTAGAATTTAACAGTGTGTAGAACACTTCATTAGATACCACCCACAATGAAGAAAAATATGCCCATCGTATATCTGCATGATTGATGAGTTAGAATTGAATGAACACCACGTAATGTGAAGTTTTTAGCGCAATAGTCGCATACCAGTCATGAAGAGGAACCATATGCCAAGTGGAAGCATTGATCACGAGCATGTCAGCCTATAAATGAGAAACCGAGTCATTAATCAGTTTGCTGATCTCAAGGAATATGAGTGGGTGGCCAAAAAAACAAAAGCAATATGAGTGAGGAGTGACATGGGCCATACCTTTTTCCCAACCTCAAGTGAACCAATTTCATCGTCCCAGAGTACTGACTTGGCACCATTTATTGTTGCCATTCTGAGCACAGTTTCAGCAGGAAGTGCTGTAGGATCAGTGACGCCATTTTTGAAAACTTCACGTCCTTTGTTTATAAGTGAAGCTAGGTACATCTCATCAACTGTACAGCAATAGAGTATGCATGAATCAGCGTAATTCGAAATTCTGATCAACATGCCAAGTACTGTCACATAGTTTCCCAAGAAGTTAATCATCAGTCAATGGTGATTATCAAACTAAACTAGACTACATTTAATTATGCCCCGCAGAATCAAAAAGCTGGGATCATTATGATTGTCGTTAAACTAACAGAAAGGAAAATCTCTTTCAACATAAGCTTCCAATGGCACATCGAGTAAGAAACCATCATCTACCAAGAAAATATGAGAGATTTGGAACACACAGATCTAAAAGTTTGGACGAACCAATGCTCATTCTATTGTTTGATGGAGCGCCATCTGTTCCTAATGAAACACAGATTCCAGCGTCAAGCATCTCCGTAATAGGCGCGAATCCCAGCATTTTCATTGCAGCAGCGGGGCAATGAGAAACTTTAACTCCAGCATGTGAAAGAAAACCAACCTAAAGGAGAGCAAGGATAATCTTCACTACCGAGGGCACAAATATGAAGGCAATATATTACAAAGAGCACTTATGGACTTATGGACACTCAGAACAATGATGTTTCTGTCCATATATTGAGACCTAATCTTCTTACATAGAATAAAATCGAAGAGAAAGTTAATATGACATAAATGACTACAACAGTTCTATGGATGGTCTTAATCTATTGTCTTTTCGACTTCACTACAAACCACCAGAAACTGCATAATACACTTTGAACAGAGTGTTACAAGGAACCCCTCCTAGAAGCGTTAAAAGGATTGAATCTGCAAGGAGCATGGACACACAGCAAAATTGATCAATTTAAGGTTGAATGGGACTTACTGTAGAATTCAGCAAACAACAAACTGAAAAGGCTTCTTATATTACAGTTTCCAATAGAGATGATCAACAGGAGGGCGGCTCGTTCGGCCCACCCAGGCCCAAGAAGGAAATGGGGGACTTGGGCAATGCTCTTACACAAGAAAGTCCAGCTTGCCCATTTTTTGCCCAGCCTAGCCCAAAAATTCCTATATAAATTTTGTGTGATGGGTGGGCTTGGGCAATTCAATAGGCCCAACCTTCGGGCCCGGCCCAGGCCCGCCCAATGATCATCTCTAGTTCGAGATACTACAATGGTTCTAGACCATTCAAGTTGCACCCTTTATCATTTAGAACTTATATTAGAAATTGGCAATGGCTGATATAACGGAAATCAATGGAGATTGTTGAAGTATTATCCCACATCGATTGACAACGGGTCCTAAATACTCTTTATATTCATGTGATCTCTCTCCACCTAATAGCTTAAGTTTATGGGTTGGACTTTCTAACAGAGATGAACTTTCTAAAGGAGAAAGAAGTCAGCTTCAAACTTTTGATCTATCAACAACTGGGAATGGGCAAACATACCTGGTACTCTCACTTTTATCGGTGTTAAGATATAGGTTTACCAAGTTTCTGCAAATTCTATCCTAGATAAACGGAAACAGCAATTTGTTCTTCTCTTGTTAAAGCTGAATCAATTATAAAAAATGAGAAAGATCAAGAGTAAGAAAAACACAGCAAGACGATTTCTTAATCCTCAATGAAAGTTATGACAAGATGCGAGATATGGTACTACAGCTGCAAAGCAACAAAAATTGGGTTACTCTACAGAGTGCAGCAGCAGTCCACCTCAGTTCTGTTCACCCAAACTGTATGAGCTGAAAGCAAATTGTCCCGTAAGAAGTCAACCTTCTCCAGGTATGTTACCGTTCCATGATCAACATTCCGTGTCTCAGTTACCAGCTGATTCTCATAGGGAATCTCTCCAACATGCTAAATTAGAAAAAAAAAAAAAAATCAGTTTGATCTATCTCAGGAGAAGAGATTGGAAGTTTCAATGTTGATTATTACAACAAGAAAAAAGGAAGAAAAAATCCAGGCTGGTACGAGCTTACAGCTAGAAGCAGAAGGAAAAGAAGCTGTAAGGTTGAATAGTTGAGTTTTCTCACTTTTACAGGCTCTCATTAGAGATTTTGAGCACGTGTCAGGACAAAGCCTGTTCACTGTGACGCTCCAGGAAGAAGGGCAAGTGATAAAAGAACAAGTACCATGTGGATTCCGGTTTTCAATTCTCTTGCTGTATCCCTTGTTGCGAGTAGTAGTTCATCAGTGCAATTCATAATTTGCCTGATGCCAAGCCATATCCTAATACGTCCATCAGCAGTATTATGATGCTTTTCGTAGAGCTCCTTCTGTGACTGCATCCTTTAAGCCAATTGCCATGAGTCATATGTCGACAGCTATGACTCAATTTTGAATGCAGTCGAAACTAGAGCTAGTCATGTGAGGAAAAAGTGAAGCCTATTATGCAATTTCATATAAATATAACTAAAACAAGAAAATTTTCTACATCAACTAAGCTCAACTCAATGGCAATATCTGTCCGAACACATAGCAAGATTTGTGTTATCTATAGATACTAGGGTCCAGGGAGACATTGAGAGGCATCTAGATTCAATCCTGCAGAAAAGGAAATGACCAAAGCATAAGGACATAGAAAACAAATCATGTCCTCTATACTGTGACGTAATCTCTGCGAATCCTTGAATTACTAGAAAGCAAGAATTTATGCAGCAAGTGAATCCAAAAAGAACTTGGGCACTACTATTTCCTAAGTCAAAGCTCCCTATTATCTTTTTAAGGCTTGTTCAATAAAATCAATATTTTACAAGTAAAACTTGGTTAATATCATCACTGCTGAACATATTTTCCCTCACACTGATTATCATCTAAAAGACAACTACTAAGAACAACAATACTGAATAGCAACTAAGCCTCTATCCATGTCTGTTTAGATCCTTCACAGGGACTCTGGGCATGTCCTGTTAGGCCTCTCTATACAAGCTCGATATCAGTCCCAAGGGTCACATTCTTCATGGAGTTCATTGTTAATTTAAACCTTCTATATATCTTCAGTTTACTAAGAGCATCGTCCGTGCATGTTCTCTAGTATGTCAAGAAAACCGAAAATTCCCATGGTTAAAGCCAAAACCGCAGCTATAGCTATAGCGCCAAACTACTTCTGATGAGTCTAATTTAGCCCAAAAAGACTCTGACTTTGTCTAGACATAGACTCCCTTAATGCATTAATGATTGTTAGCACTAAGTTCAGCTCAGCAACCTGGATACAATCCTCTGCAGTTCGAGCAGCCCAAGATGCCGGCAAACCCTCACCGGAGTCCATGACAGACTGAGCCAAGCACGCGCGTAAGCCCAGCGATTCCACCGCTCTAGCCATTCCAGGAACGTGCTGTCCTCCAGCCTCGGCAAAGCAAGTGACCTGCTCCATCGAAAATCAACAACATGACCGATCGCGACTCGACGAAAAGCCCAACGCAACACCAGAGCCAAATTCCACGACACGCGGCGCTTACACCGGAGTGAATGAGCTCGATTCCGCAGAGCAGAGCGGAAATGTAGGAATCCTCCTCGGTCATGCTGGCCTCGTAAGGCCATATCCGGTCGTGCAGCCAAGTCACCAGATCGACGTCGTCGGCTATCCCTCGACCCAGCTGCTGAGACGTGTGCACATGCGTGTTGACGAAACCTAGCTCACTAAATCGAAGTCAAAATGGGACCAGCGGAAGTCCGAGTACCGATTGAAGTACAGAAAGGAGACACAGAGAAGACCTGGGAGCAGAATCTGGCCGCGGAGGTCGATGACTTCGCCGGCGGCGTCGCCGAACCGGCGGAGGAAGTCGAGGGAATGGCCGACGGCAGTGATCCGGTCGCGGTCGACGACGACGGCGCCGTTGCCGTAGACGCGGCTCTGGGGGTCCATGGTGACGATCATGGCGTTGTGGAGCAGGATCGGCGAGCTCCCGTGAGCTTCCATATTCCGAGAGGCTCCGGTCGCTTCTAGAAAGCTCCGATGGCCGGTGCAGAGCTTGAGGTCGCCGACCGGCGGGGAAGATGGTGATCGGAAGAAGTCAGCAATTTTTTTTGAGTTGGAGAAACGAGACCGCGCTGTCGTGACACGACTCTACGCTCGGTCGTTTCACCGAAAATAAAATAATTTAAAAATATAATTATTTATATTGCTTCAAATAATTAAGGGAAAAAACCACCAAAAACCCCAAACTTTACCACCTGTGACACATTTACCTCGAACTTTTTTTTGTGTCATGAAAAACCCCAAACTATGCAACTTGTGACACATTTACCCCAATATACTATAGCCCAGGGCATTTTAGTCTTTTTCCCTTTTTCTATTTTTTCGCTTTTTTTTCTTTTTTTCCGCTAGGTCGCCTCGCGGCGAGGGCGAGGGACCTCGCCCGCCCAAGCGAGGGCTGCCCGCCAGCCGGGCGAGGGCGCCCGCCCGGGCTGGCGAGGTCGCCCACGGCTGCCGGCGAGGATTCCCTCGCCCGCCCAGCGAGGGCGGCGTCGGTAGCCCTCGCCCGCCCAGCGAGGGCGGCGTCGGGCACCCTCGCCCGCCTAGGCGAGGGCGAGGACCTCGCCCGACGCCGGCGAGGCGCCTAGTTGGCGGGGCAAGTGGAAGCCTCGCCCGACGCCGGCGGCAAGACACTCCCCGCCTGTGCGAGGGCGGCCATAACCTCGCCGGCGGGCGAGGGTCCCTCGCCGGACGCCGGCGAGGCGAGGCCGCCCTCGCCCGCCCGCGGGAGGCTGGCTGCCTTCGCCGCTCGGGCTGGCGAGGGTCCTCGCCCGACTCCGGCGAGGCAAGTGGTCGCCTCGCGCTAACGCCGGCGAGGGCGCTCGCCCGGGCGGGGCGAGGGTCCCTCGCCCTCGCCGGCGACCTTAACCCCCATCGGAAAAAAGAAAAAAAATAGAAAAGGGGAAAAAGACTAAAATGCCATAGGTTACAGTATATTGGGGTAAATGTGTCACAAGTTGCATAGTTTGAGATTTTTCTTGGCACAAAAAAAAGTTCGGGGTAAATGTGTCACAAATGGTAAAGTTTGAGGTTTTTGGTGGTTTTTTCCCAATAATTAATTGATAAAAAATATTTTCGTTATCAATAATAATTTATGTTTAGATATTTTTCGTGGACTATTCAAATACTTTTTGTTCATTCATTTTTTGAGTGATACAAGAGATATCGAATTTAGAAAAATATTTTTTAAATTATTCATTTTCAGCGAAACAAACGGAGATTATTATTTTTTTTAATTCGCCCATCAAGGTTCTGCTTTTATTACATAAAAAAATTTAAAAACCAAATAAATATTTTCCTCGTTCTCTAAAAAATTACAAAAATACCTTCATCACCATCTATCAGCTTACATTCTTAAACCATGCAAGCGAGAAATACGAAGAAAAAAAAGTATTTGTTGACCACTAACTTTCCTCTAAACAAATCGAGATTTTTATTGATAGGATGATTGAGTTTGGTCCAATTTAATGATAGTGTGCCACCTATTTTCTTGGCATGCATGTCTTTGGGGAAAATTCCAAATGAAAGTCTGGAGTGGACCTTGTGTCAAATTAAGGTATGAAGTGGCCATGTCAGCTTCAAATAAGAGCCCGAAGTAGCATGATTGTTTCAAATAAAGGCCTGATCTAGCCGATCACGGGCCGACTAAATATTCCGGCCGATCAATGGCATTTTGGTCCAAAGACAATTTTAATTTATTTTTTTCCTTTTTTTTTCTTTTTCTAGTTTGTTCTTCGCCGTCCAATGGCGATGCCCAAAAAGGGCTGGGCAATGGCCACTCTTGCCGCCCACGGGCGAGGGATGGCCTTGCCTAGGCGAGACCCTCGCCGACCTCGCCTAGGCTTTCGAGGGCGGAATCGCCCCATCCTTCGCCTATGGCCGGCGAGAGTGGCCCTCGCCGCCCTCGCCTAGCCCTTTCCAGGAATCGCCGGTGGCCGGTCGTTTGGAAACACTCTGGGGAAATATTTTGAGAAAATGCAAAGGAATTTAGGTGAAAGGGTTTTTTCCAAAGTGCAATTTAAAAACACATTGGGAAACTACTTTAACTTAAATATCGATCGGAAAAACTACACTTTCTTGAGGATTTTGGCTAATATTTTTTTTTTAAATCTCAAACCTTTGCCGACATAACTAAAGCCGCCGACAAACCAAATCGGTTGCTGGCCAGCCTCACTTGGCCCGTTCGAGGCTCGTTAGTGGCTGAGGCCTTCGCCAAGAAAAAAAATGTATTTGCATTTTAGAAATGCCCAAAGCTCAAAACACGTCCAAACTTACCTCGGGTTAAAAGCCTTTGGAATTGCAACTGCATATTCCTAAAGCCATCCAAAAAATTTATCAAACGGTATTTACATTTATGCAAGGGACTTTAGAGCTCAAAGCTCCTGGGGAATGCATTTCCTAGACGCACCCGAAGTTACCTAGACTGCCTAACTTGCGGCCTAAAACGACTAAGATGTCCTTTCCTAGTATCTTATGTCTAACTCAGTGGTGCAATGCAAGCCTCCCCTAGAGTAAAGATGCAGCACGAGCAAGAAGTAATCAAGAATCTAGCTGAGGAACATGAATGACAACGAATGCGTATCCAAATGTCACGCTCACACCGTAGCTTCTCTCCAAGAATCTAATTCAAGATCCTGCAGAACGAGTTCATCCTCTTCCCTCTTGCAATAATAATGCGGCAAAAAGCTGATACGCCGAACGATGTTCGTCTGTGGTGACGGTGGCCTCTGTCTAAACGATCCACTCAGATTCACAGTTAACGTCAAGATCTTGTGAAGACAACGACGACTCAGCTATTCTCTGTTTTTTAAACTACGAGCTCTGCTTGTTTTCATGGTTATTGCTCGGAGAAGAAGGGGAGGTGTCGTCATTCGCCATTCGGACACGACCTCCCTCCTTCGTCAGGTTCTCACCGGATTAGGTATCGCCGACACCGGCCGAAGCACATCGTTTCCCCTCTGCTCCTTTGGCTATTCGAGGGGGATTTCTACGCCCTGACGTGAGTCTGTGATGCGTGGTTGAGAAAGCAATGCAGCTTAAATTTTGTGGGGGGAATAGAATATTATCCCCAAAGCTCTCGGGCTTCATCTGCAAGTCTGTGACGCCAGGACGGAACAGGTTCTACTGGGGAAAGTTCAAGACCCTTCGTGGTCCGCTTCAACATGCAAACCCGTCTGGCTTTTGAAGCTTTCTGGGCCGGGGGCGATAGTCCAGCGTCTCTGCGAGAGAGTATCTCGCACACCCGAGAGATTCTTTGATTGAATGAAGCAGGTCGATTGTTGTCCGGTGCAGTGATCGGCCGCTACAAATTGAGAGGAATTAATGTGACTTCGATTCTGTTCAGTGCCGCCATCAAACATATGCCTTGGTCAGCTTAAAATCTTGACAAACTATGTTTCAGCTTCAACTGCACCAGATACTTTCTTCATCAACTTTCACAGTTTATGCTCCGAAACCAATTGCCTCATGCACAAAAGATGAATTGGTTGACCTCGAGCTCACGAGCTCGAGCTCATCGCGAATACATAAAACGGGAATCGTATACTGCGGCGTGCGAAACCCTAATCCTTTTGTGAAAGAGAATGAAGAAGAAAATATATTTTTCGGCCAACTTGAAAGAACAGAAAATTAAAGAATTCGAGGATGCGGCGTTAGATGATTTTTGGTAAACCACTCTTATATAATAGTGGAATATATCGACATATAATATGACATGATATTACAATTTACAACACAGATTGCTAGTTGCATCTGCTCATCTCTTGATACGAAACTGGTATGGAACTAACATTGGTTGTTTTTGTTCACATACATGACCGGATAATATAATGACCTTATGATAATCAACGCTACAAGCCATAGTTAAAAACTAGTAATGATGGCCCACGGCAATCGTCCGAGCCGGGCTCAGGAGCTGGTACGCGGCGACCCCGTAACCGCACCCGAGCCGCCTCCCCCCAGCGCTGCCGTCCACATCCCCGTTGCAGTCCATCTCGGTCAACACCCGGTAGAAAAGGTCGACGTTGCACGGGAGCTCGATGGGACCCCCGCTGCTGTACCCGAACTCGGACTCGGCCTCCTCGAGCAGCATCTGGAACAAGGGGTGGTTGGCGCATTCCGTCCTCACCACGAACCTCTGCTTCTCGGGGCCCACGTAGACCGAGAAGCAGCCCCCGGGGACGGCGGCGCGCCGCTTGACGCTGCCGTGGCGGCTCGGCATGTCGCCCTCCTTGAACGAGCTAGGCCGCGACCCGTTCCAAGACCTGCTCTTCTTGGCGAGGCTCGGGCCGTGCGTCGACCTCGGGTTGGAGGAGCTCTTGCCGGCTCGGCCGAGGGTCTTGCATCGCTCCCACGTCTTGAAAATCAGACCCCTCTTCGGCTTTCTCCTTGTCTCGTCCATATTTGTTACAGACAAGGCAAGTTTGATTGTGCGAAAGAGAGAGAGAGAGAGAACAACTTTTGGACGTTGGATGAAATCAAGAACGCACAACAACACTCGCTTTATTTCTCGAACTAATCAGCTGCCACACACGGATGAAATCAAGGTGCACACGAGGACTACTCCCTTTTGCCCTTCCTAGGCTCCTGATCTTTACTAACCTCTATCGTAGATCAAATCGAACATGACCTTGAGCCTCGGCCTCTCGATGTTGCTCATGTTTCCAGATTCGCCGGCCGGAAACGAGAGCACTTAGATACGCGCCGATTACCCGGATAGAAACAAGGAATCGACGCCGAACCCGAACCGCGCAGCTTCGGGGGACGTTTGAGGAGAAGACGAAGGAGAGGAAAGAGCTCTAGGAATTGCGCTTCGATTTGAGTTTCGCTTTGGAGCTGAGTCCCGGGGCAGAGAAGCACGCCTCGATATATATAGTGGAAAAAGACCAACCCATTTGTCAACGCTCCAAGAACGGTACATAAGGCGTGCACTGCCTCTCGATAAACTAATCAATGAATAGGAACTGCACCTCTTGGTGCTCCTGCGGATCATTGAATTGACATGAAGGTGGCTAGTTTCTGGGAATTAAGGTGGGCTGTCGGAAGACGACAACCAGGGTTTTCACTTTAAATTGATTGTTTGCAGGGGAGGACATCTGAATTGGGGATGGATAGGATGAACGAACAACCAGCTGGGCAGTGTCTTCACGGGGAGGTAAATTGCGAATTGCGGGGGTGGCTCGGCCCGTGATTAACCGAGAGAGAGAGAGAGAGAGAGAGATGTGCCAACGACAGCAATTAATAAGTGAAACATGTATCAAATTTTTTTGTGGTGGTCGATCCTTGTTTTTCGGGCGTGTTAATTCTCAGTTCATGGGAATGCTCCACTAAGGTTCCCGGTGCGATGCCGACGCTGCTTGAGCACGGGTGGATGATCTAAAGCATGCGGCTGTTTGTGCTGATGATCTGAGAAGGTTGAATGAACGCGGCGCCTATTACATACCATGTACTTTCCTTGGACCTCCAAAAGCTATCTACTAATTGTTAGTTATGGCTCGAGTTATATGTGTGCGTAATCACTGGGCTAGGATCAGTTACGTTTTTGTCTTCCCTTTTTTTTCCAGTTTAGCTGTCGGGTAATGTACAAACCAGTTTTTGCGCACATATTGCCTACGTCGGACAATTAACAAAAAAGTCTTAAACCTATTGAATGTGTACCGATTCAGTCATAAACCTTTTAATTTGAGAATTTAGTCTTAAACCTTTGGATAATTTGCCAATTTTGACCAAAAATTGCTGACGTAGCATGATCGCCTGCCACAGTGAGAAAAAAGAAAAAAAAGAAATTAAAATTTAAAAAAAAAAATTAAAAATATGTTCGTATCAGCGTTGGTCGTGCCACGTCAGACGACCGGCGCCCATGTCAGTGATTTCCGACTAAAATTAACCGGATAGATTAAATTGGCAAAACGTCAAAAGGTTTATGACTAAATTGATCAAATTGAAAGGTTTATGGCTGAATTAGCACAAATACAATAAGTCTATGACTTTTTTTTGGTAATTTTCGCGGTCTACGTCGAAGACCTTTGTCAGTAATACTAGGCCAGGCTTATTTGTAAATAAAATAAGATCCAAGCTGTACAATTTCTTCAACTAGCTTCCTCCTACACTGGTGGATGATGTTGAGCCAACCTCCCATAAAATCAATAAACTAACTCACGAAGGGGGCACCAGAACTTTAGCAAGAGAGCCTAGTACAGAATAAACAAACCAGGAATGCTCTGGCCAAGCGTGTCTTCACGGATGCTGCTGATGCAGACCCTGTCAACGCCTTCGGCTGATGACCCCTGCGATTTTATTATCAATTTCCGAAATGGTCATCACAGGCAGTGAAGGTCAAATTGGAATGATTGGCCCTGGCATAATTTAAGAATACGAATTTTTTTTTTTGTATGTTCTTTCGGAAAAAGTCTGAGCGACATTATACAGTGGAGTTCACCGTTGTTGACTTGGTTACCCCAATCATGACATCTAATTTAATTGGATCACATACTGTATTGCCCTCTTGGGTTTCAACCCACTGATCATATCTTGAAATGGGGAAGTGGGAAGTGGATTTGTCAGATGAATGAACAGTTTTTGGTTGCTCAATTTCGAAGAAGCGTAGAGAGGACGAGGATGATTCCACTGCTTTTTCCTTAGTTTGACTCTGGGAGAAGAGAACTGCTGCTCTTTGAATTCTTACCTGATCGTTTTGATTATTGTACTCGTTTTTCACATGCTACCCGAGCCGGGGGAAGGAGCCCGGTAGGAGGAAACTCGAACCCCGCGCCGTTAATCGAGGGAGAATTAGAACTATATAGATGACTAATAAATCAAATCAATCGCATTTTAAGAATTCGTGAGGGCCCACGATAGATCCCGGTAAAAAGAATAGGTTCTCATAAGATTCTCATACCCTGGTTGATTCCGTCTATCCCCATCGATCATTCACGGACTAAATCGATTCAATATCGTCTCCTCGTTAATGGCAATCGGTTGAACTGGTAAAGCCATTTGGGGCCCTCGTGCCTTGAAGCATGAGGTTTCGAGCTCGAGGATTATTCGACGAGCCTCAAATTGGGGAGTGCCCATGAAAAACGACTCGTGATTAACTTAGTCCGGCGTGTGAAGATTTTTATAAGATAAACGAAATACGCCGTGAAATTTAGAAGGTTAATGTAGTTTGGTATTTGAAAGCTTATTCGTTGATGACAATTCGGGGAAAAATGGAAACTCGATGTGAGTTACGTCAGAGATTTGACCAGAGCAGTTATCTTAGTGACCTTTTCTTTTTGGATTGGTAAATAAGGTGGCAAGATAATTTAACAGGAAAAAATCTACGTCAAGACAAATATATGATGATTGCGCCAAAAAGTGATCAATTTTCGGTTATTATCGATATGTGATAGACTTAGTCGATGGAGCAAAGTTTGATCATTTATTAACAGAATCATTGACAACTTGATGAATCGACAGCTTGACAGAATCGATAAAAAGTTGAGTTAACAGTCTTGGATGCAACCGTCAACGTAATTAGAAAAAACAACCATCAAGATAGTAAAGTCAAAGAAATCGTTAAGACAGTGGAGTCGAGGAAACCGTCGAGGTAGTAGAGTCACCGTAACCGTCGATAACTGTTTGTAACCTCCATTGATAACCATCTACTGTAGGCCTTAAATAACTACATCGTACTCTTTGGAGGGGCCTTGCGCACAGACAAACAAATATGTTATATTTCAATTATCTTTACATTCATGCATTGTAGTTATAGTTTTCAGACTCACATCGTCGATTAAATTCCGGCGTGTTGCCAGATTCGCGTCATTAATTAAATTTCGACGTATATCTTTGCTGTATATCCTGGGTGCCTCGTCGTCGATCAAATTCTAGCGTTGCATTTTCATGTTCTCGAGCTTTGTCGTCAATTAAATTTTGACAGACTTTGTGTACATTTAGTTTCGTTTGAAGCACTTACGTTCTCAGGCTTTGTTATTGATTAAATTTCGGCAGAGCTTGTATATGTTTGGCTCCATTTGAAGTAAAGTTGCCGGTTCTCTTGTATACTTGTGATATTTTCTGTACGGAATTGCCATAGAATCTGTCTCCTCTAATAAAATCAACGAATGACTTTTGGTGAAATATATTTCGTCGTCAAATCCAATTTGAACAAAACATCTTTTTGGCACGCCCAATGGGACCAATATGGTTGATTTGAGGAAGTACAATGCCGAGAACAAGGAATTATCCATAACCTGATCATACTGCAGGCTACAATCCCAGGGATACAGCTACCCAGTTCGAGACCTCAACCACTCCAGCAATAGAGCCAAGCCAAGGGACAGTGTTGAAATCCTGCAGCACTTCACGGAGGAGCAGGCGAGGGAGTTAGCACCAAGCCTTACTTCGATGGCTTCCATGAAGAGGCTGTTCGAGGAACAACAAAATAAGATGACGAATCACATAGCAAGACACATTTCTAAGGTGATCGGGTCGATGGTCATCAATGCAATCAACGATGTTATCTCCAGACCCATAATATTCAATCAGTTCGTATCGATCCAACCGAACACGGCAGTTTCTGAGCATGTTCCTCCAACTCTTAATCAATCGGTGGAAATAATTTAGGCCTAATGATTCTACCACCAGTGAGGATTTTAGAAAAGCTTGAAAATCATATCTACCCTGAATCTAGGGGGCGAGAAGGTCAAGTCTATCGACCTATACCCTAAACCTAGAGGGTAGGAAAGGTGTCAACTTGCGAATTCTGATCAAGTGGCTAAACTCGCATGACAACAATCAGGTGTTGACAGAGGAATGGTCTTGCTCGTATACAAGAAGCTACATCTTGATTAGGTTGATGCTATATTTTGCCTAAGAAAATTCAAAACTTCTGACTTCAATGTTTTCGCTGGAGAAGATGACCAGTCGACCGTCAAACGCATTGGTCAATTTATTGTCTAATGTGGAGAGGCGGGAACAAATGAATTCCTGAGACTAAAGTTATTCCCTTGTCTTTATCAAAAACCGCCTTTATTTGGCATACAAATGATCCATACTTGGGTTGAGATGAAAAAACAATTCCATTATTAATTTTATAGAACGATAACTAAAGTATCGATTATTGATTTGGCCAAAATATATCAATATGATAATGAATCAATTGATCAGTTTGTTGCTCGATTCAAGAGAACTAAGAATAGATGCCTTGCTTCACTCCCAGAGAAAGAATTCACAAATTTAGCTTTCCGTGGATAGGAATTCAATCTTAGAAAAAAAACTCAAAGGCCAAAATTTTGTCGATTTATCAATTGGCAAAGAGACTATCTAAGTATGAGCAACTAATTAAGACAGAGATAGACGGCCACATGAAAAATTTACACAAAACATGCCTTTCGTGGGAAGATATGATGCATATAATGAATCCGACCAAGACAAAAATCGGCAAAGAAAAATCAAATTTGCCGATGACAAGGGAGCATATGATGACTCTTGGTTATCTAATTTAAGAATCGAACAATTGATGAATCATTCCATTCTTTTAAAGGGAGCATGTGTTTGCACCAAAAAATGACAAACTTTTGGTTATTATAAACATGTGATAGACTTGAGAGCGAAGGAATTATTGACAATTTAATGAATCGACAACTTGAAGGAATCGACAAAAATGGAGGATGCAACCGTGAAAAAAAGTAACCGTCAACATAGTGGAATAAAATAACAGTCAAGATAGTGGAGCCAAAGAAACCATCAAGATAGTAAAGTCGAAAAAACCATCAAAGTAGCGGAGTCAACCATCTGTGTAACTGTTCAGTAATTGTTTGTAACCTCTGTTTGTGACCTCCGATAATAACCGTCGATGGTAGGCTTTAAATATCCACATCATACTTCTTTGGAGGCCCCCCTCGCACAAATAAATAAACATGTTATCTTTCAATTCCTGCACGATAGTTATAATTTGAAAAATCGCGTTGTCGATTAAATTTCGGCGTTGCATCTTACGTTCTCACGGGCTTTGTCATTGATTAAATTCCAGCATAATTTGTGTACGTTTGGTTTCGTTTGAAGTGATTACATTCTCATGTTTTGTCGTCGATTAAATTTCGGCACAATTTAAAGTGAAGTTACTGATTTTCTTGTCTATCTGTCATATTTTTTTGTCCAGAATCGCCGCAAGATCCGTCTTCTCTAATAAAATTAAACGACAACTTTCAATGAGAGACTTTTTGTTGCAGAGTCGAATTTTGACGAAACACGTGGTCACATTGATTAAACAAAGGACGAGGCCATGCGCGGGCTATCTTGTCGCTCAATTATTATTTTTTTTTTCTAATTAAACAAATGCCAGAATTATTGTACTGCTTAATTTTTTTTTGGTCGAAGTACTGCTTAATTAATTCTGCGGAGAATGTCGTCGTTCCAATTTTGTGTGCCATCATGCGTGCACAAGTGGAACTCGGCTGTATGCTCGTTTGGCAATTATCGGCATCGCTATTTCAATTCATTAAAGTGGTATTTGTCAAACTTCGATCCGCTTCGATTAAAATAAAAATCAAGGGAAGAAGGGATTTTTCATGCCGAGAAACCGCATATGATTGGGGGGCCTGACGTGATTAAGGGTGCGTTTATTTCACGAAAAACGTAACGTTTTTGGAAAATGTTTTCCAAGAAATCATTTTCCAGGAAAATAGTTAGTTTTTCTTTGTTTTGTGATATGTGATCGAAAAAGTTTTTCTGGTGTTTGGATCTCATTTGAAAAATGATTTCAAAATGCGTTTGTTTCGCCAACCCGCGCTTGTGGCCTGTCGCCGAGGCCAGCGACCGGCGGAGGGAGGAAGAAGGAAAAAGAAAAAGAAAAAAAAAAGAAAAAAGAATGAGAAAAGAAAAGAAAAAATAAAATAATAACAAATTCAATATGAGCAATTCCTGAAAATGTTTTTACTTTCTTCGATTAAGGAATTCACTTTCTTAATTTTATACAAGAATGTTTTCCTTGACTAGAAAGTGTTTTCGGTTGACTTATCATTTTCGGCAAACCAAACGGGTGAAAGTCCAGAAAACGAATTCCCGGAAAACACTTTCCCTTAAACAAACACACCCTTAGTGTCAATAATTAGATGAGATATCATACGAAAATCCAACGTGAACAAATAAAAGTTCGCTCAGCACATTAGGGGTGAGCATGGTCCAAGTGGACGGTTCCACCGGTTCCGAAAAATTGAAACCGGAAATCGCCCGTCTGAGTGGGCCCATGGAACTAATCCCACTAAGCTTCATGCAAATAGAGGTGATCGAGAGTGAGAGAGAGGCGATGAACGGACGGAGGTGCGACAGTGAGTTGATGGGAGTTAAGAGTCGAGGCCATGAGTCGACGGCCGTTGAGTTTGAGAGTCGACACCATTAGTGAGAGATAGAGAAACGACTTAGACAATGTGAAAGTGAGGTGAGACGAGCACCCATTTGATGGACGCTGAGCTTCAAATTAATATTTTAAGGTTTCCATTCTTCTTAAATTTTTTTCTTTTTTTTGTTGGAAATTTTTCTTAAAAATTATATATATTACCGGTCACGTTCGAGTAGGCGAGTGGATGGTTCCACACCTACAATCGGGAACCAGATCAGTACTCATCGGTTCTAGTAAATTGGAATCGGGAACCAGACCGGTCCCCACGGAAGCCGACAGTTCTGTGCCGGTCTAGTTTGGTTCCGGGTGGTCTGGGTGGTTCCCGCTTCCTTTGTATACTCCTACGACACATACATAACACAAGCCCTAGGGATTAGCATTACAAAATTGAAAAGCCCGTTCCACTCGGGTGAGCACGGGCCAAGCGGACCGGATCTTAAGGTAATTTTTCTTCGACCCCGAGGGATGGGGACTGGAATTTCCAGGTCTTGGACCGAACTAAATCAATCGGGGCCAAGCCAATTCATGCCCAGCCCGAATCTTTTCAAAAAAAATTAGAAACAAATTTACTTGTTACTTCTTCTGTATGTTTAGTTTTTCCAACTTATCTATGACAATACTAACGTTCCTTGAGCATAGAAATATGTTATCTATTTTATGTATTTTTTTCGCATTTTGTACTCGTAATGTATTCTTTTATTTTTTTAGGAATTAGTTCGGGCCATTTCGAAGGCCCGGCAAAATCCAGGCCTGAGCCTATTCGGGTCAGAAATCGTACCGGACCAGGCTTTTGGGCTCCCAGCCCAAAAGTATAGTTAAATAATATAATTATTATACTATTAGATTATAATTAATATTATCTTCTTGTGCATATTTTGATATATTATAATTAACGGGAAGCACAGCGCGATTTAAATTTATTAGAAAATTCCCATTTAATTCAATCCCGACAAAAATTTCTTTATAATTAATCACAGGAAACCCAATTCCATTCCATTCCTACAATTCAACAAAAAAATACATCGAATTCATCGTTTTATTCCATTTCATTCCGTCCTATCAAACTCAAGATTAGGGTTTTTTTATTATAGAGAAAGTCAACCACAACTTTTGTTTTGTTTGGGGCTCAAAACCTGATTTCTGAGAACTTAAGGAATTGAATTTGCCCTAACCAAGAATTGTAATTCTCCAGCACCCAGTAAGGCGTCAATCTGAATATAATGAGCTTTGGTGGTTTTTTTTTGTTCGAACTTTTCTAAAACGCGATGATCGATAATATACCTCGCTAATCTCAGGGATCGATCCTCAATTACGCGTTTTTACTAGTCATTGCACCCTTAATGCCTCTGAATTCGGAATGAATATCATCTGTACGAGGCCAATTTGCAGATCAACCTAGTCATTCGACTCCAAACCATAAACGTGTGAGCTGTTCTTGTCTTGGTGCTTTCGGAGTCAAATCAGTACTTCGAATACGGAGCCAAGTTTTCGATACACGAACTTACTATGAATTGCTCTCAGAGTCGGGCGAATCGATAAAAAAAATTGTTGCATTTTTCACATTCTGTTGCACCAGTTGAATTGATCTTTAGTCGTTGCAGTAATCTTCCGTATGAATTAGCAGCTCCATAGTCCCAATTTCAATCAACTGTAGTCATTTTCTGGCTTTTCTCTGCTTGAAGACAACCGGGGCTTGAGCTGTGAAAACTGACAGGCCAACTCAGGTGAACTCCATTTTTGTGGGTTTGCACTAAATACTTCAATAGATACACATGCATACAAGCATATTTCCAGGAGGCAAATAATGGTGTATAAATCATAGTATACGCAAAAATGAAAACCATACAAAGATTACATTCACCATATGTCTGATGCACACTACACTAGGGAGTTTGGTCCTGAGCTCTCGGCGGAGAATACGGAGGGAGATGGGGTATCCAGGTCCTCGGGTCCCATAGATTGTACCCCGGCGGCGTTGCCGGCGGGAGGGGAGGAGAAGGGAATAACGGGATTCTCGGGATCCATGTCCGGGGATCGGTTAAGTTAAACCCTGGCGGAGGCAGAGGAGGGAGAGGCGGGAACGGGAACGGCAGCGCGGGTGGGTTCGGGCACGGGAATGAGGGAAAGGGAAATGGCGGGAGAGGCGGGAATGGTATCGACGGAAAAGGCGGTAATGGAGGGATCGGGATTGGACGAAACGGTGGCAGTTGAGGGATCGGTGCCCATGGAAAGCCATATGGTGGGAAGTAAGGCAAGAAGAATTTGGAGGAATTGAATTCATCTTGCAATAATCCCTCTTTCTTGTTCCCGCATAAGGTAACGTTGCGCTCGTGGGGCTGGTAGCTCAGCGCGTTCATGCTGTATATGCACAGGTTGTCCTGCTTCGACTTGACGGTCACCTCGTTCGTCGTGGCCCTCAACCCGGGCACGTTGCACGCGGAGGACGAGCTCCCTATCAAGCTCACTTGGCACATGGACGCGATCTCCTGGCCGTCCACGCAGTCGACCCCGTCCACCGAGGGCACGTCCAACCTGTACGTCCCGTATCTATCGGTGGTCCGGTTCACCCAGAAGTTGATCTGCTCAGTGGTCTTCGGCGCGCTCGCCTTGAACTTGCATTGGATGTTCACATCAGCACCTGACAAAGAGACACCAACAATTCAAACTCCAGAGACCGACAACAACTTAGGTGAAGTAAGTGAATTGGTGTGACTACTGGTGAAGTGATGAACTTCGTGAGTACCTGGCAAGAAGTAGCTATACTTGGAGAAAGTGTTGGTGTGACATACGTCGCAGTACACGGCGCCGACGACGGTGATGCGAGAGGTCGGCGACGGCGGCGCGGCCTGCGCCGGCTGCTGCGCTAGGATGTGAAGTGGGCCGGTGAACAAACACGAGAGAAGAACGAGAATGGAGATCATCGACTCCATCTGAGACGGGGGAAGGCTTTGGGATGAGCGAGAGGAAGAGAAGTTCTATAGAAATGGCATGTTGTTGTAAGGTCTGTCCTTTTGGCCCTTCAGTCTGTGAATGGCATCTCAAAAGTGTACTTGTAAGATAGCTGGAAGAGCACAAGGAGAGTAAACAAATTGTTCCTCGGAGCAGTGATCTGCCCGTGAGTTGTTGGTGTGAGGACCAACTGTAACCAGAGATTTTTTTATTTATTCACTACAAACAAAGACATGTGAAGCCACTTTTGGCTGATTAGAGAGGGAGAGAAAGGGAGAGAGAGAGAAGTGAAGACGAATGACAGGAGGAGTTGGAATGATTGCAGGAACAGAGAGGGTCCATTTGCAGGAACTTTTTCTGATGTAATGCTTGCTCATGTATGCAGGATTCGTGACTCATCGTTCTGTTCCCGAGACTTTCTGTAGCTTCTCAAGTAATCTGGCTCTCTAGTGGCCATGTTAGTCGCAAATGTTAGGATTAAGCGTACAAACGTAACGAAATAGAGAGTAAAGGCAAAAAGAGAAATCAAAACATAAAATTTATCTCGGTTCATTCTTTAACTAGGGCTAGCACATTTCACGTCTTTGTCATAACTCTCTGTCACAAGAAAAAGAGATTATGTATAGGCAATAGTTATTCAAAGATCCAAATTCAAACTATCAATAAAATACAAACGCAACATATAAAATCTCTCTGGTAGCTCGGGGGTGTCCCGGACTTCCACCTACTCATCAGAGAGCAGGACTCCCGTGCCTTCTTATCGATAGGGAGTACAAATCACACTTCAACAACAAATACTTCAATCTTAAGTATGAATCTTTTCCCGAGCCAATAGTTATTGGTAAGAATTGGTAAGTGTGAAAAGGTATCAAAATATATAATGGTCGTGTTTATGTCTACTGTTCTTCGACGCTTATCAATACTTATTGAAATTCATGGCTACAGAAAAATATTTTGCTCTGTAATAAAAGTGAAGATGATTTATGGTTGGAAGTTCACTTTTTTGGGGGCGAGACCCACCAAAGATATGTCACAGATTGTGTGGGATTTTAAGTTCTTTTTCTGGTGGGGGTTGTGAATTGAAGATGTCATCTCTCTCATTCTAAATAGCTCAATTACTGAAGTCACGGGGCTCTGTGAAGCTGTTTGTGTCAAAAGTTTCCTAACTTTCAGAATCTATGTCCTGCTTTTTTGTTCAATAGTCCAAATTATGTACACCAGCTATACAGACTCGCTGAAAAATTAGAACAAACGCTGATTTTCATCTTGAATGATGTGACACCATGAGAGACGCCATCGGGTGGTCGGTCCCTTAATTCGATGTCTACGGGCACGTTTTGGGTCTCCAGTCGAGCGACCTCCCTCTTGTTCTCGTGCGAATCGATCGGCTTGATTCTTCACGAACTGATCATGAGCGAGAATGGTGTTCACCGGTGGTTCAATTGGCAGCCTCGACACTTCCTAGGTCAAATAGTCGACGAGAAGCATCCAGCTCCAAGTCGAACAGTCGATCAAAAGCTTCTGACGCTAGATAGTGACTACGGATTCGTTTTTTGTTCTTTTAATCAGGCATATCAAAATGGGTCATAACCTATATTTGATAAGTTGAGTTGTTATATGAGTTAGTTAATCAATAAATGGGTCTCAAATTGTAAAACCCAAAATAATATGAGTGTTAAATGGATTTACAACTTAAATTCAACCCATCTCTATGATTATATGGGTGTCAAATGAGTTAAATGGGTTTAAAACCCATCTCTCCCTTCACTCTCTCTTGCCTTGCGCTCACTCACTCCATGCTTTTATTTTAGTTTAGTGACGAGTTTTCATAGATTGAGTTAAAATATAAAAGTGTTTTAACAATATTTGTTGGATTCGGTATGGGTCACTATATTTGTATTGCATGAAAATGGGTCAAAGCAGGTTAAATGGTCGATTTGGATCGGACCATTTTTTACCCGACTCGAACTGCCCATTTGACCGGTCTACTTTTAATGAACATATTTCGACCCTTTTTAAGCAAATGGGCCTTTTTTTTTTTCTCCAATCATGCCTCTAGATTGTAGGACCCCACTTGATTTTGGTTGAGTTTGTGTGCGGATGATGTCCATATCTCATAACCCACCAAATCCGAGGGCAAGGTGGGAGGACGATATTGCCCAAATTGAGATGAAGAGAATTCCTTTCCATTCTTTTTATTTGTCTATTGTGCGGATAACCAACTTCCATGGGCCTTCTTCTTAGGTGGGCTCACTTCAAGTGCTTTTGCATGTAGCTTGAATTGGGCCCTTCAAAGCTGAATTTTCTCCCTTGAGTGAAACTATGGACTAAAAGTTGGACTGCAACCTTCGTTTATGTTTTTCTTTTTAGATTAGCGAGAGGGTCCATCAAATTCCATCATTTTACCCCTCGTGAAAAGTTGATTCTAGTGTAATCGAAGGTCATTGTGGTAATTTAGCTAATCTTTCCATCACTTAGCCCCCACCTCTCTCTCTCTTTTTCTCTCCCACCACCCTCCAAATTCCCTTTGGGAAATACAAGTTCTAAGAAATTTTCCTAAAACTATTTTTGCCAAATGATTCGGGCTTTGTTTTCGATTGAATGTTGTCTCAAAATGAACTGGTGGTGAACTTGCAATAAACCCCTTTTTTTAACACGACTATTTTCCAAGAAAATAGATCTTCGAGAAAGGAGGAGTTGTGGATACAATGGACACATCCTGATCACTTATGGAACCCTCACAACAAATAATCAATTGATCATGATCATGCTTCGCATCAATGGCCTCGAGCGATCGAAAAAGTACAGGAAAAATTACAAAAAAAGTTCTAAACTTATTGTACTTATGCCGAGTCAGTTCCGAATTTGTCAATTTGGCCAATTTAGTCCTAAACATTTTGACGGCTTGCCGATTTAACTATAAACCTTTTTTGACGATTTGCCCATTGCCAATTTACTTATTCGACAAATTTTGGTTAAAAATCGCTAATGGGCCCCCGCCAGCCACAGGCGAGGGCTGGTGACTCTCGCTTGGTCGGATGAGGGTCGTGGCCCTCGCCCGTGGCCTGCGACGGTCGGTCGCCAGCTCAAGGTTGGAAAAAAATAATAATAATAATAAAAATTTTCAAAATATTTAAAAATTTAAAATTGCAAAATTTGTTTACATCAGCGCCACCATGCCATGTAAGACGGTCAACGCTGACTAGATCGCCACGTCAGCGATTTCCGGCCAAAATTAATTGGAATAACTAAATTGGTAAATCACCAAAAGGTTTTAGAACTAAATTGGTCAAATTAAAAAGTTTATGACTGAATTGGTATGAGCACAATAGGTTTATGACTTTTTTTTTGGTAATTTCCTAAAAAAAAAGTACATGTATACACTCTTCTAATTCCGTGCTTAGGATTGCAAATGCGGAGGACTCTTATAATTAGGGGTGAGCAACGATCTAGGGTTAACCCTGGACTGACCGTGGACCGGTCCAAACCAGTCGGTCTTGGTCCGGTTCCCAAGGGGACTGGGTCGGCCCTTGGTCCTGGGACCCCTGGATCCTGCACTGTGCGGGTTGGTCCTTGATCCTTGGAGTTTCAGGTTGGTCCAACCCGGACCAACCCTATATATATATATATATATATATATATATATATATATATATATATATATATATATATATATATATATATATATATTTATTTATTTATTTATTTATTTTCCAAAGAACCTAAGGCCCCTCCCTCCTCTTCTTCTAGCGTCGAAAATAGAAACCTTATTGACTATTGAGCATCGCCTCTCTTCTTTCCTCGCTTCTCTGCAGCTGTTTGCTAGATCTGTCTCTCCTCGCTTGCCTCACGAAGCAGCCTGCCTCTCTTGGCCCGCCTCGGCGCCTCACAAACGGCGAACGCAGGTCGCCTCACTTGGCCCTCCTCGGCATCTCACGAACAAGATTTGAAGTTGTTTGTTTTGTTTTCAGGTGTTCAGAAATCGAAGCAATCTTTTGAGAATGAACAAGATATGAAATTGTATAATCCATGGTTTATGTTATGTATTTTGACAATTTTATTTTTTAATTTTATTTCACGTGTTTGTATACTATTAAGTGGAGATTTTTTTTTTGGTAAGGGGTTTTTTTAAGTGGAGATTTTTGTTGTTACCTTATCTTAGATTTTTTATTTGATTTGTATCGGGGTCTATAGCTTGGTTATTCAATATTGCATTGTCGATGGATATGCATTTTCAAAGTGTATCGTTTATCTTTTCAACGAATAAAAAAAATGAAACATAAAAAAATCGGTCGGTCCCGGATTGACCTTGGAACCGGATCGGACGCATAGGGTCAGTCCAGTCATCTGTCTCAAAAATTAGAGACTAACACTGTACGAATTGATCTCAGGGTTAGGTATTGAATCGACTCAATCTGGATCATGCTCACTCCTATTTATGATAATGTCCGAAAAAGTTGCTACCACGGGGACCAATATCCGGGCCTCATTGAAGGATTCGGTCAAACGGCAGCCACAACCGCAGGCAACATCATTCGTTGCATGAAGCTCTTGGTCGGACGATTGCTCCTTCACGTGTCGACGTGGCAAGGCCTCATTCGTCAGCAGATCGTTTTTTTTTGGAGGTTGAATTTCGTAGGTACATCAACCTGTCGGAGGAATGTGTAGCACCAAATCAAGAGCTTGGACTCGAAGATGATTGCCACTGCATAAACCACTTGTTAGCAAGACAGGATATGTACGTATGAAGACTCCCGTGAATCATGTTACGTACGGATTGATCTCTCTCAATCTAAACGACAAATTTACGTATCTAAGATACAAATCATTCATAGAAAAAACGATTCTCGAGCAAAATGTGTCATTCGAACGAAGTTCGTCTTGTGAAATCGTCCCGTCAATTGCTTGACTCGGCATAGCCGGTGAAATGACCAAAGTTGATAGAGTTCGTCCGATAAGAAAACGAAACAGATCACCAATTTTCGCATGGCTAAACCATTGAAAACAGCTCTGATTATGCATTATTTTTTCGATTTTGAATCACCTCCAGCTATTTCTTCGGCAGTTTACGATTAGTTCGGATGATCATTCGCTCGAGTTTTTAATAGGACCTTTGCATCAATGTGGCATGCGCGCAATAAATGTACGTCCTTGTCGATAGTCCGAAAGTACGTAAGGCGGGGCCAAGGCACAATGTGAAGAGAGCGAGTAAGTCGAACATGTAATAAAGTCCGTGCATGAACAAGCTTGTGTTTCATTAACCAAACTATGAAACGAAACATTACGGAGAGAAGACACATGAAATAAACTCATCACCCCCTCCTTCCCTCGCATCTTTTCTTTTCTCCTTTTTTTTTTTATCTTACTCAATTAAACCATTTTTTTTCCTTCTTCTTTTTTGGTTTAATCGACTACTAAACACTTTACCAAAAAAAAAAAACACTTAAATTTAAAGCCAAAGTGCACCGGCTTCCTTGAGAAGCGGCACCAAAGTCCCGTTGATGTGGGAGGCCATGACCCGGTCCATGGCGCCGATCAGCTTCCCGCCGATGAACACGACGGGCACGGCCGGGGCGACCCCGTAGTTCCCGAGCAGCAGGGCCAGCGCCTGCTCCATCTCCTTCCCCCTCGGGTCCTGGTCGAGCTCGTGCACCACCGGGCTCACCCCCATCCCGCAGAAGAGCCGCTTCACGGCGTGGCACATGCAGCAGCTGCTGACGCTGAATATCACCACCGCGCTCTCCGACGCCAGCCTCGCCACCCGCTCCAGCGGGTCCGTCGAAGGTCCCCCGATCCCCGCCACGCCCCCCATCATGGCTCCGGGCATGTAGTACTCCCAGCTCGACTCGGCTTGGTATTGCATCCTTTCTCTCGTGCTGACGAACGGGCTCGACTGGGGCTCGAACTCGAGTCGGAACCGATCGATCAAAGGAAGAGGAAGAGGAAGCAGAAGAGGAAGAGGAAGCTGTCGGATCACGAACGAGTGAAGCTTTTGGTCAAGTGGAGTGTGAACTGTGAACTGTGAAGTGAGGATGAGGGTTGTGATGGAGCGTGGCATGTATATATAGGGGAAGGTGGCCGAGACTGGCTGTGAATAAGGGGATGGAAGGAGGAGGGGATGAGACTGGTCTTTGTCTGTAGTTGTCGCGGCGCGTGCGTGGGGGCGATCTGTCGTGGGTTCTGCTTTTCGAAGGATTGTTTGTCTCTTCTGAGGGGAGTCGAAGCATTGAAGAACAATAATTTATGTTTGTGTTTTCAATGTTTTTTTAATGCGGACGCATTTAAAGGCGAAATCAAATCTCTGTTTCGTTCGCTTTTTAGAGAGAGAGGGAAGGGGGGAGCTGACATGGCAGGGTGAGGAAGGGCGGCGAAAGGGTGGGAGCTTGTCGACTGAAGCGGAAAGAAACAACGGATAACTTCCTCCTTCCTGCGGTTTGGTCCAAAGCCACGGCGTCCCATAACTTCACCCGATGTCGCCGGCAGGTTTTGGCTGCTGCTTGGTCGAGAGGATATTGCGTCTGTTTTTTATGTTCGCTCCCGTGGGGAGATGATGTTCAGTCATTGCTGCCTGCGATCTTCTGTCCGTTGATTTCTTTAATTCATAAGACGAGCCGAAACGCTTAGTTTGGGGCAAAAGTACACCACAGGTGCCATAACTTGTGTACCGCGATCACTTTGGTGCCATAACTTTTTTTCGGATCACTTTGGTGCAATGTCGGAGGAAAAGAGATCACTTTAGTGCCAATTTGGCCGGAAATCCGACGTGGTATTTTTTTATTAATTTTTTACGCCGACGTGGCTCGCCGGAGGCTGAGTCAGCGTGTACAGTCAGCATTTTTTATTTTAAATAAATTTTTTCAGCTTGTACAGTCAACATTTTTAATTTTAAATATTTTTTTTCCTTTTTTTTTCTTCTTTCCTTTCTCTTTTCTTTTCTTTTTTTTCTTTTCTCCCCTCGCCGGCCGGTCGCCGGTGGCCAGTCGGCCACCGGCGAAGCCCCGAGAAGGGCCGGGAGAGGGCGGCCTTGCCCATGGCCGGCGAGGGGCGGCCGACCTCGCCGGCGACGGGCGAGGCCACCCGGGCGAGGGGCGCCCTCGCCGGACGCCGGCGAGGGTCGCCCACGCCCAACTCAAGCGAGGGCGACCCTCGCCCGCCCGGGCGAGGGCTTCCCTCGCCCGATGCCGGCGAGGGCAACCCTTGCCCGGGCGGGCGAGGGTCGCCCTCGCCCGAGTCGGACGTGGGCGACCCTCGCCCGACGCCGGCGAGGGTTGCCCTCGCCAGATCCGACAAGGGCGACCCTCGCCAGCGTCGGGCGAGGGAAGCCCTTGCCTAGGCGGGCGAGGGTCGCCCTCGCCCTGAGTCGGGCGTGGGCGACCCTCGCCCGACGCCCGGTGAGGGTCGCCATCTCCAGATCCCGCGACGGCAACCCTCGCCGGCGTCGGGCGACCCTCGCCGGCGTCGGGCGACCCTCGCCGGCGTCGGGCGACCCTCGCCGGCGTCGGGCGAGGAAGCCCTCGCTTGGCGGGCGAGGGTCGCCCTCGCCCGAGTCGGGCGTGGGCGACCCTCGCCGGCCCAGCGAGGCTTCCTTCGCCCGACGCCGGCGAGGGCGACCCTCGCGCGGCGTCGGGCGAGGGCGACCCTCGCCGGTGTCGGGCGAGGTCGGCCGCCCCTCGCCGGCCATGGGCAAGGCCGCCCTCGCCCAGCCCTTCCCGGGCTTCGCCGGTGGCCGGCCGGCGAGGGGAGAAAAGAAAAAAAAGAAAAGAAAAGAAAAAGGAAAGAAGAAAAAAAAAAAGGAAAAAAAATATTTAAAATTAAAAATGCTGACTGTACACGCTAAAAAAATTTATTTAAAATTAAAAATGCTGACTGTACACGCTGACTCAGCCTCCGGCGAGCCACATCGGCGTAAAAAATTAATAAAAAATGCCACGTCGGATTTCCGGCCAAATTGGCACTAAAGTGATCTCTTTTTCTCCGACTTGGCACCAAAGTGATCCGAAAAAAAGTTATGGCACCAAAGTGATCGCCGTACACAAGTTATGGCACTTGTGGTGTACTTTTGCCCTTAGTTTGGTGCGGCAAATTTCGCCAGTCAAATCGCGCTCTTGCTCAAAATAACAACGAAGGCCAAGCCAAACCACCTAGCAAGTGGAGCCTTATATGATATATGTGGATTTGATGATTTATGCGCGTTCTTTGGGAATTCGTTGATGCCGTGTTCCTTGAAAAACAGCGGAATTTGTTAAAGGAATTAGTGAAGTTTGTTTTATCGTATCATTGAAAATGTGCATAATGCGGTGCCATTGCCCCTTTCTCTCATTTTAGAGTGATCGAAAAGGCATGTGGAGTGAGATTTTATCCGATGCACATGCAATGATCTATTATGACTCCAAGCATTTGAACGAGAGAACAAGAAAGCCACACATAAGAAACACATCGCCAAATTTTTTTACACTTGGGCATCATGTTAGATATTATTATTGTACCTATTAAGGGGGTTAGGTCGAAGTGGAGTCCACATTTGTTGCCCTAAGTCCGATCATTCTAAATGTGCTTACTAATTTTCTGGTAAAGGAGTTTTAATGGCATACAAGTTGGGCGGGACCAGACTTTGCAATTGATGCTACTGTCGCAGTCCGATTTCTCCCATACCCGAGTGGGCTTAAAAGCGGGTAATATGGCGATTAATTATCAAAATGCGATTTGTCATAGTGCCTTAGAACGATGTTTTGAGGGGAAGCCGATATGATATTCCGGCTTATCAGACACCACACCGACTTGTCCTCGGCCAGAAAAGTTTTGGATTATACCAATAAGCCAAGAAAATCAGTGTACAAAACTGAAGCCCCAGCGGTGTACGCACGGAGCTCGTTCTAAAATTTCACAAAACTTTTGATCATAAAAAAAAAAAAATTTCTCACAAAAGCCAAGAAATAAAGAGGGAGCGCATAGAAAGGGCGATGGAAAAAGTGAAAGAAAAATCACAGATTCGAAGAGACACGGGCACAGGCTTTTTCAGGCCAAAGTCTGAGGAATGTGGACGGCTGTCTCCGTCCTCAATGTCGGATGGTTTTCCTTTTGCCCTTTTTCTGTCATTTTCTTCATTTTAGTCTTGCAGACCAACAAATATTTAATATAAAGAGAATAATGACATAAACGATCCTTAAATTTTGATTAAATGTGTAATGTAATTTTTGAATTTTTAATTTATTTAACGTAGTCTCTGAATTTTAGTCTAATGCTCAATATGATATTTTTTGAACTTTTAGTATATGTTCAATGTAATCCTGAACTTGAGTTAATGGAATTACTATATCGAACATTTTCATATAGTTTATGAACTAAATTGAATATGTATCAAAAGTTCAATGACGATATTAAACAAATTAAAAGTTCATATATTACATTATACTTTGAGTTAAAACTCTGGGATCGCATTGCACATTGGGCCAAAGTTTAGAGATTGTTTGCGTCAATGATGATGGCCAACTGATATTACAAAAATAAGTAAAATTGAAGAAGTTGCGGTCCTCAACATCTCTCGATTGAAAACAACTTTGATTATGCATTATTTTTTCGATTTCGGTCGAGTTTTTAATAGGACCTTTGCATCAATGTGGCATGCGCAATAAATGTACGTCCTTGTCGATAGTCCGAAAGTACGTAAGGCGGGGCCAAGGCACAATGTGAAGAGAGCGAGTAAGTCGAACATGTAATAAAGTCCGTGCATGAACAAGCTTGTGTTTCATTAACCAAACTATGAAACGAAACATTACGGAGAGAAGACACATGAAATAAACTCATCACCCCCTCCTTCCCTCGCATCTTTTCTTTTCTCCTTTTTTTTTTTATCTTACTCAATTAAACCATTTTTTTTCCTTCTTCTTTTTTGGTTTAATCGACTACTAAACACTTTACCAAAAAAAAAAAACACTTAAATTTAAAGCCAAAGTGCACCGGCTTCCTTGAGAAGCGGCACCAAAGTCCCGTTGATGTGGGAGGCCATGACCCGGTCCATGGCGCCGATCAGCTTCCCGCCGATGAACACGACGGGCACGGCCGGGGCGACCCCGTAGTTCCCGAGCAGCAGGGCCAGCGCCTGCTCCATCTCCTTCCCCCTCGGGTCCTGGTCGAGCTCGTGCACCACCGGGCTCACCCCCATCCCGCAGAAGAGCCGCTTCACGGCGTGGCACATGCAGCAGCTGCTGACGCTGAATATCACCACCGCGCTCTCCGACGCCAGCCTCGCCACCCGCTCCAGCGGGTCCGTCGAAGGTCCCCCGATCCCCGCCACGCCCCCCATCATGGCTCCGGGCATGTAGTACTCCCAGCTCGACTCGGCTTGGTATTGCATCCTTTCTCTCGTGCTGACGAACGGGCTCGACTGGGGCTCGAACTCGAGTCGGAACCGATCGATCAAAGGAAGAGGAAGAGGAAGCAGAAGAGGAAGAGGAAGCTGTCGGATCACGAACGAGTGAAGCTTTTGGTCAAGTGGAGTGTGAACTGTGAACTGTGAAGTGAGGATGAGGGTTGTGATGGAGCGTGGCATGTATATATAGGGGAAGGTGGCCGAGACTGGCTGTGAATAAGGGGATGGAAGGAGGAGGGGATGAGACTGGTCTTTGTCTGTAGTTGTCGCGGCGCGTGCGTGGGGGCGATCTGTCGTGGGTTCTGCTTTTCGAAGGATTGTTTGTCTCTTCTGAGGGGAGTCGAAGCATTGAAGAACAATAATTTATGTTTGTGTTTTCAATGTTTTTTTAATGCGGACGCATTTAAAGGCGAAATCAAATCTCTGTTTCGTTCGCTTTTTAGAGAGAGAGGGAAGGGGGGAGCTGACATGGCAGGATGAGGAAGGGCGGCGAAAGGGTGGGAGCTTGTCGACTGAAGCGGAAAGAAACAACGGATAACTTCCTCCTTCCTGCGGTTTGGTCCAAAGCCACGGCGTCCCATAACTTCACCCGATGTCGCCGGCAGGTTTTGGCTGCTGCTTGGTCGAGAGGATATTGCGTCTGTTTTTTATGTTCGCTCCCGTGGGGAGATGATGTTCAGTCATTGCTGCCTGCGATCTTCTGTCCGTTGATTTCTTTAATTCATAAGACGAGCGGAAACGCTTAGTTTGGTGCAGCGGATTTCGCCAGTCAAATCGCGCTCTTGCTCAAAATAACAACGAAGGCCAAGCCAAACCACCTAGCAAGTGG